TGAGCTTCCGTTTGGACCTTGGTACCTCCAGGAGCAGCTGATCAGCTGACCTGAGGCACCAAGCTGGGGTGTAGGGGTGGAGAAGCTCAGAGAGGTAAGATGGAGCCAGACCATTTAAAGATTTAAAAACAAATAAAAGAATCTTAAAATGAACTCTAAAATGCACGGGTAACCAGTGGAGGGAGGCCAGGATGGGAGTAATGTGCTCCCTCTTACGTACTCCAGTTAAGAGCCGGGCGGCTGCGTTTTGAACTAACTGGAGACATGAGAGGGAGGACTGGCTGACTCCAAAATAAAGTGCGTTACAGTAATCCAGCCGAGATGTAACAAAGGCATGGATTACTGTTTCAAAGTGCTTATGTGAAAGAAAAGGCTTTGCCTTCGCCAGCTGCATAATATGATAAAAACTGGACTTCACTACCGAGCTAATTTGCCTATCAAATTTAAAATCACTGTCCATCTTAAAACCCAAATTTGAGACGGTTGGCTTTAAATAATCTGCTAAAATACCCAAGTCTACAGGAGGGGTTTCACAAGGGCCACTGGGACCAAAGACCATCACTTCTGTTTTTATTTTCATTGAAATTTAAGAAATTCAAGGCCATCCAGGCTTTGATGTCTTCAAGACATGCCAGAAGTGGAGTGAGGGAGAAAGCATTTTTCTTGTTAAGTGGCACATACACTACCGTTCAAAAGTTTGGGGTCACATTGAAATGTCCTTATTTTTTAAGGAAAAGCACTGTACTTTTCAATGACGATAACTTTAAACTAGTCTTAACTTTAAAGAAATACACTCTATACATTGCTAATGTGGTAAATGACTATTCTAGCTGCAAATGTCTGGTTTTTGGTGCAATATCTACATAGGTGTATAGAGGCCCATTTCAAACAACTATCACTCCAGTGTTCTAATGGTACAATGTGTTTGCTCATTGGCTCAGAAGGCTAATTGATGATTAGAAAACCCTTGTGCAATCATGTTCACACATCTGAAAACAGTTTAGCTCGTTACAGAAGCTACTAAACTGACCTTCCTTTGAGCAGATTGAGTTTCTGGAGCATCACATTTGTGGGGTCATTTAAACGCTCAAAATGGCCAGAAAAAGAGAACTTTCATCTGAAACTCGACAGTCTATTCTTGTTCTTAGAAATGAAGGCTATTCCATGCGAGAAATTGCTAAGAAATTGAAGATTTCCTACAACGGTGTGTACTACTCCCTTCAGAGGACAGCACAAACAGGCTCTAACCAGAGTAGAAAAAGAAGTGGGAGGCCGCGTTGCACAACTGAGCAAGAAGATAAGTACATTAGAGTCTCTAGTTTGAGAAACAGACGCCTCACAGGTCCCCAACTGGCATCTTCATTAAATAGTACCCGCAAAACACCAGTGTCAACATCTACAGTGAAGAGGCGGCTGCGGGATTCTGGGCTTCAGGGCAGGGTGGCAAAGAAAAAGCCATATCTGAGACTGGCCAATAAAAGAAAAAGATTAAGATGGGCAAAAGAACACAGACATTGGACAGATGAAGACTGGAAAAAAGTGTTGTGGACGGATGAATCCAAGTTTGAGGTGTTTGGATCACAAAGAAGAACGTTTGTGAGACACAGAACAAATGAAAAGATGCTGGAAGAATGCCTGACGCCATCTGTTAAGCATGGTGGAGGTAATGTGATGGTCTGGGGTTGCTTTGGTGCTGGTAAGGTGGGAGATTTGTACAGGGTAAAAGGGATTCTGAATAAGGAAGGCTATCACTCCATTTTGCAACGCCATGCCATACCCAGTGGACAGCGCTTGATTGGAGCCAATTTCATCCTACAACAGGACAATGACCCTAAACACACCTCCAAATTGTGCAAGAACTATTTAGAGCAGAAGCAGGCAGCTGGTATTCTATCGGTAATGGAGTGGCCAGCGCAGTCACCAGATCTGAACCCCATTGAGCTGTTGTGGGAGCAGCTTGACCGTATGGTACGCAAGAAGTGCCCATGCAACCAATCCAACTTGTGGGAGCTGCTTCTGGAAGCGTGGGGTGCAATTTCTCCAGATTGCCTCAACAAATTAACAGCTAGAATGCCAAAGGTCTGCAATGCTGTAATTGCTGCAAATGGAGGATTCTTTGACGAAAGCAAAGTTTGATGTAAAAAAAAATCTTATTTCAAATCCAAATCATTATTTCTAACCTTGTCAATGTCTTGACTCTATTTTCTATTCATTTCACAACATATGGTGGTGAATAAGTGTGACTTTTCATGGAAAACACAAAATTGTTTGGGTGACCCCAAACTTTTGAACGGTAGTGTATATCTGACTGTCATCAGCGTAACAATGAAATGAAATGCCATGCTTTCTTAAGATGGATCCCAGGGGCAACAAATACAAAGAAAAGAGCAGGGGCCCTAAAATCGACCCTTGTGGAACCCCATACGGCAGTGGAGCAGAGCTGGACTTTGTATCTCCAAGGCTCACACTCATTGTTCTGTCTGTTAAATATGACTTGAACCACTCTAGTGCAGTACCACGGACACCTATAAGGTAGCTTAGCAGAGCCACCAGAGTGTTGTGGTCCACTGTGTCGAAGGCTGCAGTTAGATCTAACAGAACAAGAATAACATAATCACCAGAGTCATTTGCCGGGAGGATGCCGTTAAAAACTCTTATTAAAGCAGACTCCGTGCTGTGGCGAGTTTTAAAACCAGACTGGAAGACCTCCAAGACACCATGCTCATCCAGAAAGGACTGAACATGAACAACTTTCTCTAAAATCTTTGAAATAAAAGGAAGCTTGGAGATGGGCCTAAAATTGGCCAGCACACTGCAATCAAGGCCTGGTTTTTTGAGTAGAGGCTGCACCACTGCATGTTTAAAACCTGGCGGAACAACACCAGAGGACAGACTGCTATTTATGATAGCCAGAACAGACTGACCTATGCAGGGGAAAACCTCTTTAAACAGCCTGGGAGGGACAACATCACAGGGAGAACCAGCAGGCTTAATATGGCCAACCAGCTCTTCTAAAAATGACAAAGACACAGGCTCAAACCTGTCAAGAACTGCAGAACAAGGAACAGGCACAGAGGGGTCGGATGCAGGAGCAGAGATGAGAGACCTGGCAGTCACAACCTTTTCAATAAAAAAGTACATAAAATTATTGCACATTTCCACAGATGCCTCTAAGCAGGCAGGCTGTGGGGCGTTAAGAACAGCATCGATACTTTTAAACAACACACGTGGGTTTTGATGATTTAACTCCACCAAGTTTGCCAGATATTGTCTTTTGCTCTCTTTAACAGTTCTCTGGTAGCTGTTCAAAGAGTCCTTAAGTATTTGGAAAGACACCTGCAGCTTGTCCTTCTTCCACTTTCGCTCAGCTTTGTGGCAGTCTCGTCTGGCTGCGCGAGTTTCTTCATTGAACCAGGGCTCCAATTTAGCCCTTGGCCGAACAGTTTTTAAAGGAGCCACAGAGTCCAGAATGTTTTCACAGGAGGAATGAAACCAGGAGCTGAGCACCTCTGTGTTCGCAGAGGCAGGGCAGACACAGAGCTGTTCAAAAGCCACAGAGAAGCGACCGGCAGTGGAGGGGTTAATAATCCGGCGTCTCTGAGCAGGGGCTCCAGATTTAACCTCAGAGCAAGAAAGGTACACTTCAAACAATACAGGCCTGTGATCAGAAAATACATCATCACGTATCACCAAGTTAGACACAGGTAAACCATGACACAGTACGAGGTCCAGTAAATGCCCGTGCTCGTGTGTGGCACCCGACACACACTGCACCAAATTAAAAGAGTCAATAAGACTTACAAAGTCCTTCACCAGCGGCTTTTCAGGACAACACAGGTGAATATTAAAATCCCCAAGAATAAGGACACGATCATAGTTCGGCATAATTTCAGCCAGTAGACCAGAGAAGTAATTCAAAAACTCCTTATTGTAATTGGGGGGGGGCGATAAATGACCGCGCACAGCACCGGGTCAGACCGACCCACCTCAAATAAAGTCACTTCAAAGCTGGAATAAGAGGATGATACAGTGCGCTGCTTGCATTTAAAGCCATTCTTATATACTGTTGCTGTTCCTCCACCACGACCCGACGTCCGCGGGGAGTTAAAGTAAGAGCAGTCGGGAGGTAAAAGTTCGGCCAGAGCGCTGGACTCACCCGCACCGATCCAAGTCTCTGTCACACAGAGGAAATCCAGGGCACGGGAGCTGAAGAAATCCCTCAGGATAAAAGTTTTATTCACCAGGGATCTGGCGTTTACCAGGCAGATCCTGGCGGGTGCTGGGGCCGGGGCCTGCAGTCCGGTGGGTCGGGGAGCCGGGCGCAGCGATCTGAGGAGCCGATGGTCCACCACGCGCTGTGACAGCCGAAGAGGGCAGAGGCGGCGGGGTTCGGGTCCCTCCGCTGAGCCGATGAGAGGTACCAGACAGACGCCGACCGGGTCCAGAAAGCGACGAGGCACAAAGACATGAGGGGATGATCCATGTCCTGTCCGGAAAATGGACGAAGATTGTGACAGCCGAAGCTTTAGCTTCACCAGCCGACCGCCGCGTCTGCCGCGGCGACGAGGACGCCTCCGGCGAGGAGGCAGGGCCGGCACCCGGCACAGCTGAGGTGGAATCCCCGCCAACAGCGGGGGCAGACTGTCTTTGCCACCCCGATCAAAACCACGCAAATCTGTGACTTTTTGTTTGAGTAATAAAAGAGACTGGCGATCATAAACCAACAGAGACTCGATTTGTTTAGTGCCAATGGTTAAAAACAACAGAAAAAACAAACATTGCAGTAGTAGTAGACGTAGCAGACGGCCAGCCACACACACCGGCGCCATCTTGCTTCATCTTGAGTCTTACAGACGTTAGCACATCACTCCTACGATGAAGACCTCAGAAGAGACTCGCGGAGTTGGAGGACAAGGTGAACGAGGCAGAGAGGTACCAGAGGAGACGGAACCTGAGGCTGTACGCTCTGAAAGAACAGGAGGGAGAAAACCTCAGACAACATGTGGTGGAGATCTGCCATCGCTCCAGACCTTGGTGATCATCTGCAGCTCCACATCGACATCACCTACAGGATCGGACGGAGAGATGGAAAGAGGACGCGTCCTGTGATCATCAGATCCAGAGCAGTCAAGGAGTCCATCTGGAAGAAGGCCAAGGGATTCGAGTACCTTGCATCCAGGAAGCTGAGGTTCGGAGAAGACTTGACTGCGAAGGACAAAGAGACTCAAAACTGTTTGTGGCCCCAAATCGAGGCGGCGCATAAAGAGGGGAAGAAAGCCTTCTTTATTGGAGCTAGAGCCATAATCGACGAGAGAGAGCTGAGGGTATGAAGATCAGCATTATGCCAACAGTTAAGTTTGGTTTGAACTAATGCAATATCTTGTGCAGCAACATCTGGCTGTATTTTGGATATGTTAGGATCGACATTTATCTTTATGGTAGCCTACATGTTTTCTTAGTTTTCAGACGGACACTTTTTAGTTTTTTTTTATTTTTCATTTTCATTTGAAGGAAAGTGTCTTTATCAGTGTGTTCAATTAATGTTCAGGGTATCAGAGATATATTGAAAAGAAAAGCAATCTTTTTGTTTTGTAAGAGACTTAAGGCTGATTTTTACCTTTTACAAGAAACTCATGCAATAAAATCTGATTACAATTTTTGGAAGAATCAATGGGGCGATAATATTTGGATGTCATATGGATCTAATACATCCGCAGGTGTGGCAAGCTTGAGAGGACAATTTAGTGGTAATATTTTGAAAAGTAAAGCACATGAATATGGAAGATGGCTAATTTTTGTGTTGGAGAAAAGGGACATTGTATTCATCATGGGTAACATTTATGCTACAAACAATAGTTTACAGAATAGAGCACTGTTTTGGGAGTTTGAAGAGGAGATATCCAACTTAATAAGTATATTTCCTAATGCAAAGATCAAAAATCTGAATTTCTATGGTGGGCAATGGGAATATATGAAATATGACATTAGGAAAATGGCTATTCAGAGAAGTAAAGAAATTGCAAAAAAATAAAAGGGTAAAAGAAGATAATATTGTTAAAGAAATTATTGCAATACATGGTAAGGAAAATTTGGGTAATCAAGACAAGGATCATTTGAACATGTTGCACCTACAATTGGACCTCATATATGAAGAAAAGGCGAGAGGGGCCTTTGTAAGACCGAGGAGAAAAGTGTTAGAAGAGGGGGAGAAGAACACAAAATACTTCTTCAATCTGGAAATAAGAGATGTTGAAATGTTCTCCTTAGTTAAATTGAATATTAATGACCGGATTACAGGAGACCAACGAGATCAAGCATTTTATTACAAAATTTTATGAATTACTGTATAAAAGAAATGATTATGTTTATGATACAGATTTTTTCTCATTTATTAAGCAAAATGCAAAATCTATAGGTGAGGAATCTAAAAGATGTGTGATGGAAAGATCACATAATATGAAATTAAATTATGCATCTCTAGATTAAAAGACAATAAGTCACCAGGTAACGATCGTTTAACTGGTGAATTCTATAAAGTATTTCAGGAAGACATTTCAGAATTTCTTTTAGGAGTTTTCAAGGAGGCAATTGATTTGGGAAGGATGCCTGCAACTATGTCTCAAGCTCTTATTTCTCTAATCCCAAAGCCAGGTAAAGATGCTTTAAAAATTGAAAATTGGAGACCAATAACCCTGATAAATAACGACGCTAAATTATTGTCTTTGATATTATCTCAGAGACTAAAGGCCTGCCTTGATACAATCATTGGTGACTATCAGTCAGGTTTTATGAAAGGAAGACATATTTCTAATAACATCCGCCTAATTCTAGACCTAATTGATTATAATGAATTACTCCCTGATAAAAGTTTCATTTTGTTTGTGGATTTTTATAAAGCCTTTGACACGGTCGGGCATACCTTTTTGTTAAATACGTTGGACCTCTTTGGATTTGGTGATTATTTTAAACGGGCGGTTCAGACTTTATATGTGGGTTGTAATAGTTCAATAAAGTTACCATATGGGACCATACCTTGATTCAATATCGATAGAAGGATTAAACAAGGAGATCCTATTGCCCCCTTTCTATTTTTATTAATTATGCAAATGATGGCTTCATATATTAAGAAATATCACTTTAGAGGTATAGAATTGGATGGAGAGGAGTTGAAGTGCTGTCAACTGGCAGATGACACTGCAATCTTTTTACAAAACGAATGTGAAGTGAAAAAAGCCTTAGAATGTCTGAATGTCTTCGCTCATGTATCAGGTTTGAGAATTAATGTCAAGTAATGTGACCTTTTTCCTTTTAAAGGACAAACCCGCCAATTTAACTGAAATATGTGAGATCCCAGTGAAAGATGTGGTAACATACCTAGGCACTAAAATTTGCAAAAATCAAGAAGAAAGAGCCAAATTGAATTTTATTCCACTAATAGAGAAGATGAGTAAAAAATTCAACAGCTGGCTGGGACGAGACCTATCATTATATGTTATCAAAAAGCGAAGGCTTATCACAGCTCATATATGGTGCCCAGGCATTGGCTGTTCCTCAAGCATTAACTAAACAAGTTGATTCTAAGTTGCTTACTTTTATTTGGAGAAACAAACCTCATTATCTTAAAAAGGGTGTCTTGTGTAACCCATGTTCTCAAGGTGGGCTCAGTGTTCTTGACTTTAACTCCTCAAACACTATGTTAAAGATTAAATGGCTAAAAAACTATATGCTTGGTAAGAAAAAAATGTATATCATTCCAAATTTGATATGTAAAAATGTTGGAGGTATTGATTTTCTATTGAAGTGTGACTTTGACCTGAACAAAATTCCCGCTCAGTTATCTAGTTTTTACAAACAAGTGTTTTTAGCATGGATGTTAGCCTACAAACACAATTTTTCTCCTCACAAATATTTAATTTGGAATAACAGATATCTCAAATACAAGAATAAATCTATTTATTTTGATGGCTGGGTGAAAAATGGTATCTTGATGGTGACACAATTGTTAAATAGAGATGGAAATTTATTGTCATACACAGAATTTTTAAGAAAATAGGGGATTCCAGTTACTCCAAAGGAGTACGCTATTGTTTATGATGCGATACCTCCAGGTATTTTGAGTCTTGTCCGGGGATGTGAGACCTTAGATGGAGGTCTTCAGTTAACATCCGCTCTAATGCTGGGAGGTTTAACCTTTACCGATAGGAAATGTAGCAACTATTATATCAGGAGTCACTCTCAGGAAACATCAGTTCCCCCTATTAAGGCTTTCTGGGAGGCAAAAATTCAAAGCATCAAATGGAAATTAGTATGGACTTTAAATAAAAAATACTGTCACCAATAGGATTAGAGAAGTCTCGTTAAAATTGTTCATAGGATTTACCCAGTCAAAGAAATATTGTCAAGATTTAGAGAAATGGATGAAATGTGTGTATTTTGTAATAGTGAACCAGAAACTGAGATTCATTTATTTTACAATTGTCCTTATGTTAAACTGTTCTTGATAGATATGGAAAGATTTGTGAAAGACAGAATGGGAATCAGTATTTGCCTTAATATAAAAGACATTATTTTGTATTTTGAAAGAAGTTTTGAATGCAAAATGATTTTTTTTTTGTTAAACCATTTTATATTATTTGGAAAATTTCATGTGCACAAATCAAAATGGTCTGGAAAAAAACACGTTTTCAACAATATATAATGGAATTCAGACATTATATTGGGACATTGACAGGACTCAAGAAGAACCAAAAAGCAATCAAAACTGTGCAAATATGTGAAGCCTTGGGAATTATATGATTTATGCTTTGAACTTAACAGAGATACCCTGAATATTTTTCTGTTTCTTTGTAAATTACTGTACATTTGTAAATAGTGTGTGGTGTGCTGTGTATTATGTGTGTGGTGGAATAATAATAAAAAAGAAAAGAAAAAGACGGTGCGGTCTCTAAAATGAGACACAGCCTATGTTTGCAAAAAAAGGTCTGGTATCCATAACTGTCACGTAGAATTGCTCCCACAGTCTCCAGCAGGTGGAATCATTGTTCTACTTCCACTTAACTGTGCTTTCTAATGTATTTTCTTAAACAAGAAGCGAAAACTGCACCACAGATTTCTGCCTTTACAGGTTCACCTTTTTGGTCCAAAGCTCTTGTCACTTCCATCAGAGACTGTATTCGTGGCCAAGTATGTTACACTTATAAGGAATTTTACTCCAGGAGACCTTGCTTTCTATGTACAAACATGACATATTTCAATAATATCAACAATAAAAGCTTAGACATTTGACGTATATACAAGACTGTTTTAGACAGTAGTGTAGTTGTGAGGAGTGCAGAGGAATGTTGAGTATTAGAAATAAATCCTGTATTACAGCAGTAATTAGTAGCAAAATTATTGTGCGTTTCAGAACCTGTGTTCAACCAACGAGCACCAAAGTCTGGTCTCTCTGGATATTCTGCGATTTTTGCACTATTTTTTTCTCCTGTTTTTGTTGTGTTTTGCCAACTGCACATGGATATTTATGTTTGGAGAGGAGTTTGTTCAGATGAGGAGCTTTTTCCACTGTGCTGATAGACACTTGTAGTCTCAGAGTGGTGCACCTTTTCCTCAGCATTACTTCTGACTCTGCTCCTCTGTAGTGCCCCTTCAGCTTCTTTGGTGATCAACTGGTAGATGTCCCCCAAGCTGATTATTTTTTGTTTTGGGTTTTTATTTTTTTATCATTCTCCTAATGATGAGCTTTTCGTATTTATGAAATAAACTAACACCCATATTAGTGTCTTTTCATGATATTCAAAAGCAATAAGTCTGAGCTTGACCAGTTTTATACACGAATGCTTTGTGACTTCTCATTAAAATTAGTATCAATTTTATATATTCATTTATAAATATATTCCAAACTGCAGAGGAAGGTTTCTCAACCTTCTTCCCCAACCGTCTTACTTGAACCAAAACAATAATGTAACAACAATTTAACAATTTCATTTCATTACCTATAGGCAGTGGACTGAATTACTAGTCAGCCCTGAATGTGTGGCTATAAAAATGGTGAACCGTCATCAAAGACCCTCAAAGTGATCTTTCAGGCATCCACTTGCAATACCAAATTCGAAATGCTTGACCAAAAACAACTCCCAATCAATCAACAACAATGTGCACAAAAGTCTTTGTGTTGCAGATGCTTTAATAATATTGAGAAAGTTTACATCACAGTGTTATGATATGATGCTGAAAAAGAACCTAATTTGGCTACAAATATCAAAGGCAGAAAATAGACAGAAGGTCTAAAGTTTAGTCTTGGGCTGTGTCTGATGAGGTCTAGTCCTTTGTTGAGCTGTGATCAACGTCTTCTGCGGCGCTTTATCGGGACATATGTTGTTCCTCCCACACACTCTGCTTTAAGGCAGTGACAGCTCTCCACTATGGTGTAGGTGTGAGAAACCTTGGAACCATCTGCACAGTCAAGCTCCACCTTCCCTTCACTGGTCGTGGCTTCTTGGCAACACTGGCACTCGTGCATCATCCCGTTAGCAGCAGCTGAATATCTGCAAAAATACACACATATCCAGTGATTACAACAGTACACAATACTGAATCTCTTTTGTACTGGTGGAGTGCTTCAGCTTTATGACCCACTGCAGAGCAAATGAATCCCAACAGTACAACAGAGTTCTACTTACCAAGGTTATATTAAGCAGATTATCTATTAAGATAATCATGGATGCATCATGGAAAAGCGGGCTTTAGTCACTGTGCAACAGAATACCCTCCTCAAAGATTGACTAGTGTGTCTTCTGATTCAATCCTTGCACATTGCCATTTTTCATGGTGAAACATTTATGCTCCTGCTATGACTTGTTTGCAATTTGTAACGACTAAAGATGATACTTTGGGGGAAAGTCGCTCTGCATCTGAACCTCCCTCGTAGGTAATAACAGAGGCAAAGTGTGTGTGTGTGTGTGTGTGTGTGTGTGTGTGTGTGTGTGTGTGTAAATTTCTACTGCTCAGACTGGTTATTTGTTGGATTATTAAATCCTAAAAAGGGAATGATTGTTGTAGCTGTGCTCCTTGTTTATAATATCACAATGCTACTAAGATTATTTAAAATCTATAGAAAAATCTTATCCTAATGTACACACCCCAGCAGTAGCCCCTGTGGCCAATTCTAAAATTTCCAGAGTGAATTTTCTAGTTTACAGCAGTGCACAAGAAGCTTCTGAACCTGGAAAACCAAGTGCATCTGGCCACTTTTCATGAAATTGGAGGTAAAAAAAATGAACTCACATGCAGGCAAAACCTGTTTTCTCATCAAGGACCACAATTGAGTACACAGAAGTGTTTAAGTGGCTTTGCAGATACAGCTGAACTTCAAATCTGGTTGTTAAAACACTTACATGGACTTGCTTCCACAGTGACCAGCACAGTATGTCATGTTGACCGGCTGCTTGCTCTTGCAGTCATTCACCTTGATGACTTCAAGCTTACTTTCGAGTTCACACACACTACGCAGCTTGCCTGTAAGACACAGCAACGGTTCTTTTAATAGTTCCAACATGTTCTAACAATGACACAGCTTTGTCCTTTTAATTAGGAGTAATTATTCTAAAATATGTCCCTACTAACTTACAGGTTTTGCAGCATCCACTAGAGTCAGTTGTCTCTGTACCCTGGAGGAGGAAGACACATGTGTAAGATATGGGCGGTGTGTTGAGACAGGTCAGGTGTATAAACTGCAGAGGTCTGATTTACTCACAGGTTCACAATCCAGGGGGTCAAATTTGGGACAAGCAGTTTTGGTCTCCTGAGTGATGAGCTGTCCATTGATATTAGCACAGGCATACTCCACACACTTTTCACCAGGAAGAGTAAATGTTTCGTTGACCTGTGAAATAACAGAAAGCAAAAGTAAAATCAGCTAACAATGTGTGATCGTATCCAATGCCTATCTTGCAAACCTAACTAAGTTTTAATGCAGCTGCATTTGTGCTGACAAGAAAATGGAAGTGGGTGTGAGTGTGTATGTGTGTGTGATAACTGTAATATACATATCTTATGGATCTCTCTGATAACATTTCAGAACTCTCAGGTCTTTCTGATGAAAGTGGCATTCTGCATATATATATATATATATATATATATATATATATACATATATATAGTATTTTTTTTTAAGTGTATGAAAATACTAAATCAGTGCCATAACTGACCTCAATGATATGTGTTTTGTTGTCAGGTGCAATGAGGAAGCAACTCTTCTGGACACACTTTCCACAACACTTTTCAGGCTGATCCTCGTATTCAAAACCCTGGAAGCAGAGAAATATAAGGTGAGGTTGGAAAAACTAGATGCTGTCAGGAGCACAGCACCTGACAGCTTGCATCATCACAATGTCTATAACAATGGAAGATTACAAGTGATTTATTATATAAATATAATATAAATATTATAACTAAACTTAATATTATAACTTAAGTATTATAACTTAAATCCTGATAGGCTAATGTGTCTCATAATGCTAATGGGGTTTCCTAAAAAGGTACATAAGAATCACAAAAAGACAAAATTACTGTGCATTTGTTAAAAAATGTTTACCTCTGGACAGGTTTTGTTGCAAACAATAGGTTTGCAGTGAATGATGTTAAGCTTGGTGACTGGATCCATCTTTGGGCCACAATAACACTCCTGACAAGGGCCAGGTTTAATAGGGGGTCCAAGACTAGAAGGAGTTGTTCCTGATGGTTGTCCACCTCCAACTGTGGTTGCTCCTGGTTGACCACCGCCTCTAACCGTGGTTCCTGCTGGTTGACCAGCACCACCTGTTGTCCCTGCTGGTTGTCCACCTCCAATTGTTGTTCCTGCTGGTTGTCCACCTCCAACTGTGGTTCCTGCTGGTTGACCAGCTCCAAGTGTTGTCCCTGCTGGTTGCCCACCTCCAAGTGTTGTTCCTGCTGGTTGTCCACCTCCAAGTGTTGTTCCTGCTGGTTGCCCACCTCCAAGTGTTGTTCCTGCTGGTTGTCCACCTCCAAGTGTTGTTCCTGCTGGTTGCCCACCTCCAACTGTGGTTCCTGAAGGTTGACCAGCTCCAAGTGTTGTCCCTGCTGGTTGTCCACCTCCAATTGTTGTTCCTGCTGGTTGTCCACCTCCAACTGTGGTTCCTGCTGGTTGACCAGCTCCAAGTGTTGTCCCTGCTGGTTGCCCACCTCCAAGTGTTGTTCCTGCTGGTTGTCCACCTCCAACTGTGGTTCCTGCTGGTTGACCAGCTCCAAGTGTTGTCCCTGCTGGTTGCCCAAGTCCAAGTGTTGTTCCTGCTGGTTGCCCACCTCCAAGTGTTGTTCCTGCTGGTTGCCCACCTCCAACTGTGGTTCCTAAAGGTTGACCAGCTCCAAGTGTTGTCCCTGCTGGTTGCCCACCTCCAAGTGTTGTTCCTGCTGGTTGCCCACCTCCAACTGTGGTTCCTGAAGGTTGACCAGCTTCAAGTGTTGTCCCTGCTGGTTGCCCACCTCCAATTGTTGTTCCTGCTGGTTGCCCACCTCCAAGTGTTGTTCCTGCAGGTTGCCCACCTCCAACTGTGGTTCCTGCTGGTTGTCCACCTCCAAGTGTTGTTCCTGCTGGTTGTCCACCTCCAAGTGTTGTTCCTGCTGGTTGTCCAGCTCCAACTGTGGTTCCTCCTGGTTGACCAGCACCTCCTGTTGTACCTGCTGGTTGTCCACCTCCAAGTGTTGTTCCTGCTGGTTGTCCACCTCCAACTGTGGTTCCTGTTGGTTGACCAGCTCCAAGTGTTGTCCCTGCTGGTTGTCCACCTCCAAGTGTTGTTCCTGCTGGTTGTCCACCTCCAACTGTGGTTGCTCCTGGTTGACCAGCACCTCCTGTTGTACCTGCTGGTTGACCACCTCCAAGTGTTGTTCCTGCTGGTTGCCCACCTCCAACTGTGGTTCCTGCAGGTTGACCAGCACCTCCTGTTGTTCCTGAAGGTTGTCCACCTCCAACTGTGGTTCCTCCTGGTTGACCAGCACCTCTAACTGTGGTTCCTGCAGGTTGACCAGCACCACCTGTGGTTCCTGCTGGTTGCCCACCTCCAACTGTGGTTGCTCCTGGTTGACCACCGCCTCTAACTGTGGTTCCTGCTGGTTGACCAGCACCTCCTGTTGTTCCAGAAGGTTGTCCACCTCCAACTGTGGTTCCTCCTGGTTGACCAGCACCTCCTGTTGTTCCTGATGGTTGTCCACCTCCAACTGTGGTTCCTCCTGGTTGACCAGCACCTCTAACTGTGGTCCCTGCAGGTTGCCCAGCACCACCTGTTGTTCCTGCTGGTTGTCCACCTCCAACTGTGGTTGCTCCTGGTTGACCAGCTCCACCTGTTGTTCCTGCTGGTTGTCCACCTCCAACTGTGGTTGCTCCTGGTTGACCAGCACCTCTAACTGTGGTTCCTCCTGGTTGACCAGCACCTCCTGTTGTACCTGCTGGTTGTCCACCTCCAACTGTGGTTCCTCCTGGTTGACCAGCACCTCTGACTGTGGTTCCTGCAGGTTGACCAGCACCACCTGTGGTTCCTGCTGGTTGTCCACCTCCAACTGTGGTTGCTCCTGGTTGACCAGCACCACCTGTTGTTCCTGAAGGTTGTCCACCTCCAACTGTGGTTGCTCCTGGTTGACCAGCTCCACCTGTAGTTACTCCTGGCTGCCCAGCCCCTCCTGTTGTGCCTGCAGGTTGACCAGCTCCACCTGTGGTTGCTCCTGGTTGCCTAGGTCCAGCTGGTGTGGTTCTTGATGGTTGTCCTGGTGTTGTTGTTGGTCCTGTAGTTGTATCTGTTGGTACTTTAGTGCCAGGCTGGAAAAAAAATAGTTTGTTTACTTTTACATATTTTATGTAGTTTTTATTTATGTTATTTTAAATCTGATCTCTATAAGACCAACAGAAAAAAATTTGGTAATCCAGAGGTAATTTTTTGTGAGAAAGACAATGGAAATAAAAATTCCTTAATAGAACTAAACTAAAAATTAAAATGTACTTGGGGTATTTTTATTTTTTATTTATTTATTTTTTTTTTTGTAAGTGATGTTATAGACCTTATAGATTCTAGTCGGACCATCTTGCCTGGTTGTTTCTGTCTTTGTTTTCCAAACCTGCATAGCCCAAACTTTTTTCTTGGTTTTTCTAGCCAATCTGACTGTTAATCTACTGGGCTACATGCTGACTGTTATTCCAGAGTTATTACATGGCTGTTTTAAATATTGGGTCTGATGGGCCTTTTATAGAAGCTTTTCTCTGGTATTTCAAAAAGCAGACCAATGATCACTGACCGCAGTCATGATTAGAGACTTAGATGGAGTAACTTTGAATATGTCAATGAGCACAGAGACATCCAAATAGTGTGATACTCATCGGTTTACAGTGCGGAAAAAAGAATGAACAAAAACTGTAGATGACATATGAAGTAAGCCAATACAGAAAATATTAAAGTTCCTAGGTGGTGAATTGGGACAATGATATCACCAGACCCTCACAATTTTTTTCACTTATCAGCCAAATCAGATGTGGTATCTTGTCTTACACCACAACCAGTGGAAATCCTCAGTTTTCTATGAGCATTAGCAACCAATCTTTTTTGAGGTTTGTAAGGTAACATATAGTTAGTTCATTCTTTTTTGGCAACTCACTCACTTTACATTATCCATTCCTTTTCAACCTGCTATTAACACCCTCTGCTTGTCTGCTTTTCTCTTCTTTTCTACCTTTGTACTGTCAAGATTTATTCCTTAATGCAGGATGTAAAGCTGCACACTTACCATGTACTCAGTACCTTCATAGACACATACACCTTTGGGCACTGCAGAGGCAAACAAGGTTAGATTATTATTGAGTGGTTTCAGGCATGCTGATTAATGGCACATTGCTGAAAAAGCCGTTTAATTTTCATGTGAAGACTCGATCATGAAAAGTGAACAGAATTTTTTTTAATTGACCTGTTTGCTGGTTATCTGCTATTCATTAATTCACACAATGTTAACATAAAATAACAACTCAACTCATGATAGACAGTACAACCACAACAATTTTTTTCCAGTGAGAAGATTTAGACATCAAATAAGGTAAAAAAAATGCAAAATGTGTTGTTTGACATGTGTATTTTGCAAAGTCAATAATAAATAAAGTAGTAAATTACAAAAAAAGTTTCAGTATACACAATACGAAATGAGTGATGCTCATAAGTGGCTCTGTGGACTTGTGGAATGCTCAAAAACAGCCCCAACCTGACAACAGCACAGGTGGCACTCATTTGAAGCAGGGAGACTGCTGGTTCATTGGTAAGAATATAGTCTGTTTGTAGAAGTGTGTGAGAAAAGAAAGCCATGTGCATATTCATGCACACTTATTTGCAATCCACTTGTATGTGTTGGAAAAGATCAATGAAAAGACAAGGGATATGTCTTGGTTTCATGATGGGAACAACAAAAGTTTTCAGAGCAATAACGATACCTTAACTGAAGCCTGGTTAATATTTTTCTATTATGGGCTTGAGGAAAAAAAAAAGTATTTATTTTATCTCACATCTAGGCCTTGTTCAGACATCGGCTATGGAGTTTGCGCAACAACACTTAGATGATTGATGTGGTTAATAAAACCTCCACTGTCTATTACCACAGAGGATTGTTTACTGTTGTAGATACAAACTGATAGTCACATACCACAAACGTAGGACTGGCAGCAGACTCCAGGTTTAACTGTGAGGTTGAAGCCAAGTGGACATGTCATTGGTTCAGGACACAGGGCTACATCACATTCTGTTGGAGAGAAGAGGACAGGATGATTTTGATAATGTACTAATTTATCAACAGCTGTAAGTTCATTACACTACACACACTATACACTAACCACATGAATGTGTGGAGCAGCAGCCATCTGTCTTAGTAACCAGCTTCTGTCCGGGCTCGCTGCAGTCAGGAATCTCCTGTGTAGGGCATGGTGCTTCCTCACAATGGACACCCATTGAGTCCTTGTCACATTCACAGACCTTGCAGCCACTGGTCCATGTTTCACCAGGCTATTTGGGAGAGAGAACGAGAGACAGAGAGAGAGAGAAAGAGAGAGAGACCAGGTTGTACACGCAGCTCTCCTTTGATGGTGCACTTAGTTTTGTATGTTTGAGGCTGAGCTCTCACCAGTTTTGGTCTTCCATCAGGTCCAACACAATCTGAGTTTCAAATAGAGACCATTAGTTTGCAGATGTGTTGGTGTTGACTCATAAAAATCAAGATTATTCAAGGGCTTCTGCTTACCGCATGAGGGGACACATGTTTCATAGACTTGGTTGAATAAGGTGGTTCCCTCAGGACAGTAGCAACCCTCCTGGAGGATGGTAGATGATGTTGTATCTCCTGCTTTGAACTTATTGTTGTATCTAATGATAGACATGAAATTGATTATCGATAAAGTGTTAAGTGAACTCTTTTTGAATGATGGTCAAAAACAGCAGTTTTCACAAAGAGAGTGTAAACCTTCATAGAGGATAAAGTCCGAATCAGACAATCTTACCAAAGTATAGTTCATTTCTTCAGTTGCATAACTTTTAACTCGAAAGTGTGTTTATCAATCATTCATGAGATATCTACTTCACAACCTTAAAAACCTATTGAATATCTGGCTTTTTTTAATGGTGCTGGAGTGGAACAAACGCAGTGCATTTTAGAAACTTTCAAGACTGTCAAGAACAATTGTTCAATCAAACTTGTACACAGATGAAACACTATATTTTCACCATATTAAAACTGCTGAATTGACTGTGTGCTCGTAAGACTTCTTTCCATTTAGTGCAACACAATGTTTGTTCTGATTTTTGTAAAAATTTACATTTAGCTTCTGAAAAAAGACTTTGTAAAACTCAATGCTTTTCATGGGGCAAAAAGACATGCATTCAGTTAAGTGACTCTAAAATGTTTTAATATGAATATCAATTGACACAAAATAGACTTTACCTGTCATTGCATGTTGGCTCTACACTGGGGCCACAGGCTTTGTACACTTTGTTGTCAGGACAGTTGTGCTCTGGGAAATTAAAATATATTTTAATACACATTTTTAAGACCATGCAGGATAAGTCTTTATTTTTTGAATGGACCAAGAATCTTACCACACTGTCCATTGGTAGCATTCCTCCAATCAATACAGACTCCTTTACTTGAGCACTCTGCAGCATAGGCCTCTAGGCTGGAACAGCTGGCATTGACAGTAGCATTGGTACTATCACAGATGTCAGACTGACAGGATGCGACGTAAGGGCCCGGGGGTACAACTGCATTGCATGGTTCAAAAAGACTGGAAGGAAAACACAAGCACAAGTTGGAACATATGCCTCATTCTTTGTTTCACTGTTTTAGTCACATGTTGACTGAACTTGTTCAACTATCCAAAAAATGTCCTCACTGCCCTAACACCAAGATGTTGGTATTCTGAAAATATTTTTTTTTTGCCACAAATTTTTATCCTAAGTCTTTAGTACAACCCTTACATAAACACTTCTATGTTATTACACCTTTTGATATGTCCAAACACGCCAACTTTTTAAATAATGTAGCGAGATGTACAGAGATTTCAGTCAGATTCTGATGATTTTTAATTTAATTTACAGTTTTTTTTTTCACAGTTTACAGTTAACAGAGCAGATGTCTGTACCCTCTCACCTGGTCAGGAGTTCACAGATAGCAGGTTTACATGGGTATGGTGTTGTGGGTTTTGGGGTGGTCACTGGTGATGTTGTGGTCACTGGGGGTTGTGTGGGGACCTCACAGGTTGTCTCTGTGACGACCCACTCGCCGGCAGAGATTGAGCAGCTTTCCACAACTCCATTTGGAGAACGGCAGTCATTGGTCTGAATGTTGTCACAGCTCCCTAGAGAAGGAGAAGGATTGTTAAGCACCTTGAAGAAACACAAGATTATATCTTCTTAACAAGACTAGTAACACTAAACTTGTTTTAATAATGGCAGAAAGTCTAGATTTGGGGGTTTAACAAGGTTTGGAAAACATTCATGCTAAGATCTGCAAATTAAAAACTTTACTCCTAGCTCAATTCCAATGTTGGGATGAACATATTCAATCCTGTCCCTCAAACAAGGTTGTGGATTCCATCTTTCATGATTAAAAGAGATAAATGGTGAGCAGGCATTTTCCCAGGATGGCTATATAAATTAATTGATGCCTATGCTGGAACCAGCCATGTACTTAAAGCAGTGTAACTGGCCTAAGAATCTTAAGTACAATGGTGAGAAAACAAATAAATCTCTGTGAGCAGAGGTGTACATGTGCAACACCATCACCATAATCAAACATGATTTAAAAGATAAGCTCCACCAGTTTTTTTCTTTGTTTGTTTTTTACCAGGAGAGATACAATACAAGGATGCCATGGTTTTTCTCTGTAATACCTGTCAGCTGCATTACTTAGTATTCATTGTTCAAATCCTAATTCTAGGTTGGCCCTTTGCCTATTAGTGTGTTCATGTGGCAGCATTTAAATATTTCAAATAGCTTTTTAAACAGAGTTAGGAGGGTAACAGTAGTATATATATACTGGCAACTCACCACACTGTCCTTCAGTATTCCCACCAAAGAGGGAAGAGGGAAGCTTGATACTGAATGACAATTTTCTATAAGTTACTTTTGTCTTGATTTTCAGAATATCCAGAGTGATCTCTAGATCTGTGCTAGTGAGGAGCAGGTCAGAATTGCTGAATGCAGGATAGATACGTTTTTCATTCACGTATACCTGCAGGACAGGGACAAAGTAGAAAAAAGAGTGACATTTCTTACTCTGAGTTCACAAAGACAGTCCACTTTATGTGACTGATTAAAAAAGTGCCAATATAACAATGAAGTGAAATAATAACACTTAAGAAACACTTCCTAAGAAAGTCTAATAGTACTCACTGCAAGGCCTCTGTCCTCAAATTGAGTCAAAAATATCTTGTACGACTGGAAATAAACAATGATGTCCTGGGGACAGAAGGTGGTGTTGCTAGGATCACACTGTTGATTATCCACTATGATGGTCAGGTTGCGTTGGTTCACAATCTCTTTGACCAAGATGTAATCACAGTCCTGTTTGAACTGGTAACTTTTTCCATCAAATGTGGTGTAGTGCTCTTTTTGCACAACACTGCACACACCTACAGGAAAAGAAGGACCACGCGGTTAGTAAAAGCTGAGTAAGTAAATCTGCACAATTAGCACTCGGTTTCATCCTCACTATCCCCTACATAGTCAAAAGGGGCCAATAGTTTCTTGCTTAAGAAGCTAAGGCTACGAAATAATTTTGATGTGATTTAAGGGGGGCAGTTGAGCATGCAGTAAATAAAATGTATAAGTAGATTTAAATGTGTAACATGATCTATCAGCAATACTTTCTAAAGAACTGATAGGCATGGAAAAAGTCATTCTCCTGTGATCAATTAGTAAATTTTTATGCAAGCCCTGAAAATTTCTACAGGGAATTATTAACTGAGGTAATAAGAATCAAGTAAGAAATAGTCTAATTTTACAGTTATGTGCCATACACCAGCACTTTGACACTTAAATACCTTAATACACTTGCCTTTGCAAACCATGTATCTAGAAGGTGTTGTAAGATGAACAGTTTAAAAACACAGATGTTCTGAACAAAAACACTTACATGTGATTAACTCTTTAAATGTTACATTTCAACTTACATTCGCATTCATATTGGTAACAACATCCAATTTCATCGTAGACCTTTACAGCTGGGCGTCCAGTAGCACACATTGGAGGTTCCTCTACTTTGGAACAGGATTTAGTTTCTACTGTTACATTACCATCTTCGCAGGTACCAATTGTGCAGTTGTGAACTTTCCAGGACTCTCCGCTCTAAATATGGGTTGAGAGGCAGTTAGTTCTATTGAAGGACACAAATGTCTTGAAGAATTGTAAAACTGCTCTTTTTTGTGACTTGTGGAAGGGGCTGCAGGTTCCTATCAAACTTGTGCTGCTGCAAACCATAGCTTAATGCCATTAAGCAACTGATTACAAAAAAAGGATATTTTATGCTTCTGTGCTTTTATGCAAGTAAGGCACTGTATTACTGAAGAGCGCAGCCCCCATGGACTACCTTCAGGTATTCTAAAACAACCTGAGAAGGCATCTCTGAGCTCACTTTATGATAAAATCTGTGGCCTGTCTCTTATAAATACAAATAGGATTAAAGATGTATGAAATGAGGAACTTTCAGTGATTTTTGATGAGCCCTCTTGAGGACTGTAACCTCAGTAAGTAGAGTGCACATGACTGAACCACAAAAAGAAAGTTGGGCTCCACATCTGCAAGCTTACCCAATATTTCTCCCTCAGCAGATATGTTGATATCTTGCTGTCATCAGCAAGTCTTATGTAGGACAAAAGTAGAATGCTCTCTTGTACTGCACTACTAGTAATGCCTCAAAATGTAGCTGTTAGTGGAAACACTGTTTAACTACTATACTTGGTCATGAAAATAGTCAAGCTTCTGACAGCTTCTTGATCCAGTCTACAGCAAAACTGTCACCAAATTAGTGAAAATGTAAATAAATTAGCAGTATACATTTTTGTATCCATGTTCTAAGTTCATGATATAGTTCTTTTGAAATACATGTTTTTCCCTATGAATCACCACCACAATATGTGAATATGAAAAAGTAATAGCATTTTTTAAAGACAAATACCTTTCTTGTTTCATTCATATAGATGCAGTCTTTTGGTGGAGGCAGAGTTGAAATTGTGGGTCGCAAAGTGGTACTGATTGCTGAAGTCGAAGGGGGTGTGGTGGTTATTGGTGTTGGACATGGGCTGAGCTTTGTCTCAATCTTGCAAGATGCATTACAATATCCAGCAACACACCACCCTGTTCCATCAGTGACATTATAAAGTAAATCCCCTGTGGAAACAAAAAGAATGTGGGAGTGAGGGAAAAATAGAGGTCAACTTATTGATAACAAGAACAAGACAAGGAATAAAATGGGATATATATGTGTGAATTCAGCCACCAACCAGGGCGATGTTGTTTTCCTTCATACGTGCAGAAACACAAGGTTGTTGCTGGAGGTGGGAGAAGTGTAATGGTAGAATAGGAAGGAGTTCTGGCTTCTTCTGTCGAGGGTTGTACAGTGGTAACTGTTGTCCCTGGAAGAGTCTTTGTGATTGGGCCAATAGAAGTGGAAGTTTGAGTTGTCACTCCTGGAGATAAAGTTGAAGCAATAGCTACAGTAGTAGTATTTACAACAGAAGGCTTTGATAAAACTGTTGACAATTGAGTGGTTCCAGTGACGACAACAATAGGTGTCGTTGTTCTAGAAGTAGGAACAGTTTTGGAGGTTGAAATTGGGCCAGTGGTGACCCCAGTAGGTGGTTTTGTTGTCTGAATGGTTACTGTTGTTGCTTCAGATTTGGTTGTCTCTCCAGGTTTGGTGGTGGCTCCTTTGGTAGTTGAAACACCTGGTGCCTGAGTAGTTGTTGTGCCAACAATAGGTGCTGATGTTACCTCTGGAGTCTTTCCTGTGACTTTTGTGGTGGTGATTTCAATGACCCCTGTGGTAGCAGTTAAAACTGGGCCAGTGGTGACCCCAGTTGGTGGTTTTGTTGTCTGAGTGGTTACTGTTGTTGCTTCAGATTTGGTTGTTTCTCCAGGTTTGGTGGTGGCTCCCTTGGTAGTTGAAACACCTGGTGCCTGAGTAGTTGTGGTGCCAACAATAGGTGCTGATGTTACCTCTGGAGTCTTTCCTGTGACTTTTGTGGTGGTGATTTCAATGACCCCTGTGGTAGCAGTTAAAACTGGGCCAGTGGTGACCCCAGTAGGTGGTTTTGTTGTCTGAATGGTTACTGTTGTTGCTTCAGATTTGGTTGTCTCTCCAGGTTTGGTGGTGGCTCCCTTGGTAGTTGAAACACCTGGTGCCTGAGTAGTTGTTGTGCCAACAATAGGTGCTGATGTTACCTCTGGAGTCTTTCCTGTGACTTTTGTGGTGGTGATTTCAATGATCCCTGTGGTAGCAGTTAAAACTGGGCCAGTGGTGACCCCAGTAGGTGGTTTTGTTGTCTGAATGGTTACTGTTGTTGCTTCAGATTTGGTTGTCTCTCCAGGTTTGGTGGTGGCTCCCTTGGTAGTTGAAGCACCTGGTGCCTGAGTAGTTGTTGTGCCAACAATAGGTGCTGATGTTACCTCTGGAGTCTTTCCTGTGACTTTTGTGGTGGTGATTTCAATGACCCCTGTGGTAGCAGTTAAAACTGGGCCAGTGGTGACCCCAGTAGGTGGTTTTGTTGTCTGAATGGTTACTGTTGTTGCTTCAGATTTGGTTGTCTCTCCAGGTTTGGTGGTGGCTCCCTTGGTAGTTGAAGCACCTGGTGCCTGAGTAGTTGTTGTGCCAACAATAGGTGCTGATGTTACCTCTGGAGTCTTTCCTGTGACTTTTGTGGTGGTGATTTCAATGACCCCTGTGGTAGCAGTTAAAACTGGGCCAGTGGTGACCCCAGTAGGTGGTTTTGTTGTCTGAATGGTCACTGTTGTTGCTTCAGATTTGGTTGTCTCTCCAGGTTTGGTGGTGGCTCCCTTGGTAGTTGAAACACCTGGTGCCTGAGTAGTTGTTGTGCCAACAATAGGTGCTGATGTTACCTCTGGAGTCTTTCCTGTGACTTTTGTGGTGGTGATTTCAATGACCCCTGTGGTAGCAGTTAAAACTGGGCCAGTGGTGACCCCAGTAGGTGGTTTTGTTGTCTGAATGGTTACTGTTGTTGCTTCAGATTTGGTTGTCTCTCCAGGTTTGGTGGTGGCTCCTTTGGTAGTTGAAACACCTGGTGCCTGAGTGGTTGTTGTGCCAACAATAGGTGCTGATGTTACCTCTGGAGTCTTTCCTGTGACTTTTGTGGTGGTGATTTCAATGACCCCTGTGGTAGCAGTTAAAACTGGGCCAGTGGTGACCCCAGTAGGTGGTTTTGTTGTCTGAATGGTTACTGTTGTTGCTTCAGATTTGGTTGTCTCTCCAGGTTTGGTGGTGGCTCCTTTGGTAGTTGAAACACCTGGTGCCTGAGTAGTTGTGGTGCCAACAATAGGTGCTGATGTTACCTCTGGAGTCTTTCCTGTGACTTTTGTGGTGGTGATTTCAATGACCCCTGTGGTAGCAGTTAAAACTGGGCCAGTGGTGACCCCAGTAGGTGGTTTTGTTGTCTGAATGGTTACTGTTGTTGCTTCAGATTTGGTTGTCTCTCCAGGTTTGGTGGTGGCTCCCTTGGTAGTTGAAACACCTGGTGCCTGTGTAGTTGTGGTGCCAACAATAGGTGCTGATGTTACCTCTGGAGTCTTTCCTGTGACTTTTGTGGTGGTGATTTCAATGACCCCTGTGGTAGCAGTTAAAACTGGGCCAGTGGTGACCCCAGTAGGTGGTTTTGTTGTCTGAATGGTCACTGTTGTTGCTTCAGATTTGGTTGTCTCTCCAGGTTTGGTGGTGGCTCCTTTGGTAGTTGAAACACCTGGTGCCTGAGTAGTTGTTGTGCCAACAATAGGTGCTGATGTTACCTCTGGAGTCTTTCCTGTGACTTTTGTGGTGGTGATTTCAATGACCCCTGTGGTAGCAGTTAAAACTGGGCCAGTGGTGACCCCAGTAGGTGGTTTTGTTGTCTGAATGGTTACTGTTGTTGCTTCAGATTTGGTTGTCTCTCCAGGTTTGGTGGTGGCTCCTTTGGTAGTTGAAACACCTGGTGCCTGAGTAGTTGTTGTGCCAACAATAGGTGCTGATGTTACCTCTGGAGTCTTTCCTGTGACTTTTGTGGTGGTGATTTCAATGACCCCTGTGGTAGCAGTTAAAACTGGGCCAGTGGTGACCCCAGTAGGTGGTTTTGTTGTCTGAATGGTTACTGTTGTTGCTTCAGATTTGGTTGTCTCTCCAGGTTTGGTGGTGGCTCCTTGGTAGTTGAAACACCTGGTGCCTGAGTAGTTGTTGTGCCAACAATAGGTGCTGATGTTACCTCTGGAGTCTTTCCTGTGACTTTTGTGGTGGTGATTTCAATGACCCCTGTGGTAGCAGTTAAAACTGGGCCAGTGGTGACCCCAGTAGGTGGTTTTGTTGTCTGAATGGTTACTGTTGTTGCTTCAGATTTGGTTGTCTCTCCAGGTTTGGTGGTGGCTCCCTTGGTAGTTGAAACACCTGGTGCCTGAGTAGTTGTTGTGCCAACAATAGGTGCTGATGTTACCTCTGGAGTCTTTCCTGTGACTTTTGTGGTGGTGATTTCAATGACCCCTGTGGTAGCAGTTAAAACTGGGCCAGTGGTGACCCCAGTTGGTGGTTTTGTTGTCTGAATGGTTACTGTTGTTGCTTCAGATTTGGTTGTCTCTCTCCAGGTTTGGTGGTGGCTCCCTTGGTAGTTGAAACACCTGGTGCCTGAGTAGTTGTTGTGCCAACAATAGGTGCTGATGTTACCTCTGGAGTCTTTCCTGTGACTTTTGTGGTGGTGATTTCAATGACCCCTGTGGTAGCAGTCAAAACTGGGCCAGTGGTGACCCCAGTAGGTGGTTTTGTTGTCTGAATGGTTACTGTTGTTGCTTCAGATTTGGTTGTCTCTCCAGGTTTGGTGGTGGCTCCCTTGGTAGTTGAAACACCTGGTGCCTGAGTAGTTGTTGTGCCAACAATAGGTGCTGATGTTACCTCTGGAGTCTTTCCTGTGACTTTTGTGGTGGTGATTTCAATGACCCCTGTGGTAGCAGTTAAAACTGGGCCAGTGGTGACCCCAGTAGGTGGTTTTGTTGTCTGAATGGTTACTGTTGTTGCTTCAGATTTGGTTGTCTCTCCAGGTTTGGTGGTGGCTCCCTTGGTAGTTGAAACACCTGGTGCCTGAGTAGTTGTTGTGCCAACAATAGGTGCTGATGTTACCTCTGGAGTCTTTCCTGTGACTTTTGTGGTGGTGATTTCAATGACCCCTGTGGTAGCAGTTAAAACTGGGCCAGTGGTGACCCCAGTAGGTGGTTTTGTTGTCTGAATGGTTACTGTTGTTGCTTCAGATTTGGTTGTCTCTCCAGGTTTGGTGGTGGCTCCCTTGGTAGTTGAAACACCTGGTGCCTGTGTAGTTGTGGTGCCAACAATAGGTGCTGATGTTACCTCTGGAGTCTTTCCTGTGACTTTTGTGGTGGTGATTTCAATGACCCCTGTGGTAGCAGTTAAAACTGGGCCAGTGGTGACCCCAGTAGGTGGTTTTGTTGTCTGAATGGTTACTGTTGTTGCTTCAGATTTGGTTGTCTCTCCAGGTTTGGTGGTGGCTCCTTGGTAGTTGAAACACCTGGTGCCTGTGTAGTTGTTGTGCCAACAATAGGTGCTGATGTTACCTCTGGAGTCTTTCCTGTGACTTTTGTGGTGGTGATTTCAATGACCCCTGTGGTAGCAGTTAAAATTGGGCCAGTGGTGACCCCAGTAGGTGGTTTTGTTGTCTGAATGGTTACTGTTGTTGCTTCAGATTTGGTTGTCTCTCCAGGTTTGGTGGTGGCTCCTTTGGTAGTTGAAACACCTGGTGCCTGAGTAGTTGTTGTGCCAACAATAGGTGCTGATGTTACCTCTGGAGTCTTTCCTGTGACTTTTGTGGTGGTGATTTCAATGACCCCTGTGGTAGCAGTTAAAACTGGGCCAGTGGTGACCCCAGTAGGTGGTTTTGTTGTCTGAATGGTTACTGTTGTTGCTTCAGATTTGGTTGTCTCTCCAGGTTTGGTGGTGGCTCCCTTGGTAGTTGAAACACCTGGTGCCTGTGTAGTTGTGGTGCCAACAATAGGTGCTGATGTTACCTCTGGAGTCTTTCCTGTGACTTTTGTGGTGGTGATTTCAATGACCCCTGTTGTAGCAGTTAAAACTGGGCCAGTGGTGACCCCAGTAGGTGGTTTTGTTGTCTGAATGGTTACTGTTGTTGCTTCAGATTTGGTTGTCTCTCCAGGTTTGGTGGTGGCTCCCTTGGTAGTTGAAACACCTGGTGCCTGAGTAGTTGTTGTGCCAACAATAGGTGCTGATGTTACCTCTGGAGTCTTTCCTGTGACTTTTGTGGTGGTGATTTCAATGACCCCTGTGGTAGCAGTTAAAACTGGGCCAGTGGTGACCCCAGTAGGTGGTTTTGTTGTCTGAATGGTTACTGTTGTTGCTTCAGATTTGGTTGTCTCTCCAGGTTTGGTGGTGGCTCCTTTGGTAGTTGAAACACCTGGTGCCTGAGTAGTTGTGGTGCCAACAATAGGTGCTGATGTTACCTCTGGAGTCTTTCCTGTGACTTTTGTGGTGGTGATTTCAATGACCCCTGTGGTAGCAGTTAAAACTGGGCCAGTGGTGACCCCAGTAGGTGGTTTTGTTGTCTGAATGGTTACTGTTGTTGCTTCAGATTTGGTTGTCTCTCCAGGTTTGGTGGTGGCTCCTTTGGTAGTTGAAACACCTGGTGCCTGAGTAGTTGTGGTGCCAACAATAGGTGCTGATGTTACCTCTGGAGTCTTTCCTGTGACTTTTGTGGTGGTGATTTCAATGACCCCTGTGGTAGCAGTTAAAACTGGGCCAGTGGTGACCCCAGTAGGTGGTTTTGTTGTCTGAATGGTTACTGTTGTTGCTTCAGATTTGGTTGTCTCTCCCGCTTTGGTGGTGGCTCCCTTGGTAGTTGAAACACCTGGTGCCTGAGTAGTTGTTGTGCCAACAATAGGTGCTGATGTTACCTCTGGAGTCTTTCCTGTGACTTTTGTGGTGGTGATTTCAATGACCCCTGTGGTAGCAGTTAAAACTGGGCCAGTGGTGACCCCAGTAGGTGGTTTTGTTGTCTGAATGGTTACTGTTGTTGCTTCAGATTTGGTTGTCTCTCCAGGTTTGGTGGTGGCTCCTTTGGTAGTTGAAACACCTGGTGCCTGAGTAGATGTGGTGCCAACAGTAGGTGCTGATGTTACCTCTGGAGTCTTTCCTGTGACTTTTGTGGTGGTGATTTCAATGACCCCTGTGGTAGCAGTTAAAACTGGGCCAGTGGTGACCCCAGTAGGTGGTTTTGTTGTCTGAATGGTTACTGTTGTTGCTTCAGATTTGGTTGTCTCTCCAGGTTTGGTGGTGGCTCCCTTGGTAGTTGAAACACCTGGTGCCTGAGTAGTTGTTGTGCCAACAATAGGTGCTGATGTTACCTCTGGAGTCTTTCCTGTGACTTTTGTGGTGGTGATTTCAATGACCCCTGTTGTAGCAGTTAAAACTGGGCCAGTGGTGACCCTCTCAGTTGTTGGTGAGGTGATCTCTGTAATGGATATTATGATGTACATGTTATTAAGAAGTGGTTACAGAAAACTCTTCCTATATTGCCAGAAGTCTTCAAATCACAATAGACATATGTACCTGCAGTAGTTATAGCAGTGCTGAATGTGAAGGGGGTTGTTGTTGGGACAGGTGTTGTTGTTTTACATTCCTCCACAGTTCTTTCAATGGTGCCATTTTCTCCACAAACTGCTTTAAGGCAATTTCCTGCTCCATCATGGGTTTCATAGATGGTTTCTCCATAATTGTAGATTTTGCCATTAATAAAGCATGTACAATCTGTGGATCAGGAGTATCACGATCAGTTTTCCTTTCTAATGTATAATGTTTTTTTCTACATTGTTGTGTGCATGTCTGTAGTAAGATTTGTGTGTGTGTGTGTGTGTGTGTGTGTGTGTGTGTGTGTGTGTGTGTGTGTGTGTGTGTAATTGTATTTGGGTGCATGGTAAGCAAACTTAATTTTTTGAAAAAAAGATCAAATAAGATATTGTTCATATTCATGTTTACTCACGGTCCACACTGTAGTTGCATTTTATTCCAGATTCTGTGCAGTTACTGTTAAATGGAAAACAATTATGAGTATGGTGTCGCCTATTATTTCTGAAACTGAAAAATTTCCCTATCTGACAGGATTTCTTTAACATCTATAGTACTATCTTAAACATTCCTTTATGCTGTCTTTGTATGTTTATAAAATTTAATGGTAACTTTATTTTTCATGTCAAGCGCAGCTACAGCACACTAACAGAAAAAAAAAATACTTGTGTTAAACTAATAAAGCAAACTTTATTCTGATATTTTGTTGGGAAAAAGTTAGTTAGATATCACTGGTAATGATACCTGGGACCAGTAATATGTTTCTGTAATCAATGTTTTTCTTGCTGTAGTGATGTAAAATTCCCATATTTTCAACATACTTGTTTGTGATTCACAAGACTGCCCTTTTCTTATCAAAACGAGACTTTTACATCAAGTTGCAGGAAGCATACATGATGTTGGTGGTGGTTGTTTTTTTTTTTTTTCTCACCACAGAGCGCGGTTTTCAGGCTTGCATTTTATTTATATCTCACAAACAACACAGCCACAGCAAAGTTCCTGATACTCTCAAAAATTTGAAGACAAGGACAAATTTTTATCATAGCTTCATCAGCTTATCTATACAGCCTTGTTTGCCCACAAGAAGTCTGTCAATTTCACCCACTACTAGCTCTCTCAAAGTCTCTAGAGAACTCCATAAATTGGTCCCTGTGGTTTTCCTTTTAACCCATTCAGCATGTCATATCTCAAATAGAGTGCAATAGTTCAAACTATTAGCTCACTTTTTTTGTTTGACTCAACTGTCATGTACAAATATGGTAAATGCTCTGATGCTTCCTGTGTTGTACAAACTTAATTTGAAATGTAATGCTAAATGAGACATACCAGTAATAACAGTTTTCTGATGTGACCTTAGCTCCAATGCTGTAATGATTGCCTATGTCATCAAAGCATCCACATTTCTCCCATGCAACACACTTCATGGAGTCTTCATCAAAGTATGGATGGGTAGGTGGACACTGTGGGTAGCAGCCTGCAAAACCATGAATGTATTTTTTAGCCTCAGGAGAAAATCACTTGCATGCGAAGTAGTGTTCACAGTTTTTTCATTATTCACCCATTAACAGGCAAATTCACAGTACTGTTCCAACAGATATTTCATTTATGATGAAATGAAAGTCCTGATAATAACTTAAGGTTGACTCCTTTTTTATAATCTTTTCTTATGGGTCTAGCAATGTGCAGGTTTGTGGATAGAAGGTTAATAAGCTGAAATGTATGAGCCAATGCAGTAGAGCAAAAACAATGTAAGACTGAATTAATTTTCTTAATTTTTTTCAGAGCTATTTCAGATTGCCACATGTGTGAGTGTGTTTTACATTATCTTAAATGTTTCAATGCAAACTTTTTCTGAGTCAGCAACTTTGAGAAGAATGTAATAATAATGAAAGGGTTACATGAAGGACCTAAAGGACCAACTGAAAAATTAAGCTACAAATTTTCTCTTAGAAATCAAAAAAGCTGAATTGAATCCCGAGAAACAGTTAAATGCATGTTAATTACAATTTTTAATTTTTTTTTAAAAGGAAATGGAATGAGAGCACCATTACATGTCATTCAAGCCATTTTTCTGGTTTAGGAAACTCTTAAAAATTTTAAAATCAGTTAGCTGTACCTTCAATAGCAGTGATGAGTTTGGAACATTTTCCTGACGGATTTCTACATGACTTCATGCAGGGAGCACCACAAGGTTTGTAGTGCCATTCACAGCCATCAGGGGCATTGTAGTAGTCACAGAATATAGCTGCAAAAGATAAAGTACATTTGTTTTAATTCTGCTGATTTCACTCATGAATGTAAATCTTTGAGTGAGAGATATCAAGGGTTCATCAGTGCCCAAGGTTCCTCATTAAATCTTTACATCCTGGCTCAGATGATCCTGGTGATACAATGATCAAACTCACGGCACATTTTTGGAGTTCTCCATCTCACGCAGACCCCGGCTTCATTACAAGCTTTGGCGTAGGCAGCCACAGCAGTGCAGAAACACTCGCAGTCCCCACCAGTGTCACAAGCACAAGTGTCTCTTACACAGGATTCAAAGTATGGACCGGGGTCAACCTTGAACAGACAAAAGTGTACTTGTAGCACTGTATCAAAGATAGAGGGTGACAGTAATGTTGCTTTGTACTAATGGGAGTAGGGGCATTGGTTGCAATAGTATAAAGGCTGGTCTTAGGCTGTCTTATTGGTCCAAGTGATAGAGAAGAGGGTGTGGTAAGGTTGCTGAATTAACTCAGTAAAGACCGAGAATATTCAGCTTAAATATTTACAGTCTAAAGGGTTTGATTGGTAACAAACAAAGATCTGTGCTTGATATCACCATATTTACCTGAGAGTGGCACTTCTTGAAGGTGACACTGATGATGATGCTACATTGTCTCTTGGACCAGGCTGCCCGATAGCCATTGGCGGCACAAGGATCAGAGATCGGTTGGGCATTTGGGCAACTGGATGAAACTTTCCAACTGTTACCAAAGTCAATAACATCTGCTACTGTCTCCTGGGAGGGTGTGGTGAAATCGTTCTTACTGTCGCCGTCATAGTTTCCACAAAGACCACAGACTTGACCCTGAGAGGAAAAAGTTCAAAGACAGAACTGACTTTTTAAAAAAGAAAACTAATACATATATGATTGCACATAGTGACATATCCTTTTCCCTCAATAAAAACTTTTCATTCCCATTTGACAACCTGGCTAACTCATGTTTTTAGTGCTGACACAGTTTCTGGTCTTACTCACCTGACCTGTATTCAATGTCCCATCAAACTTTGTCAAGTCTTTAAAAAGGACACTTGAATCTTATCTTCACTCAAGTGTGAAATAGATTTGCATATAGCAAGGTTAAGAACTGCTGCAGATGATAGGCACCAGCTACTCAAGAATGCACATATCTATGGTGAGATGCAGCTGTAAAACCAAAGTCAGTGACTTTTTGTGTAGTATGTGATGGGCTGACACACTATTAAACTGTCAGTGTATAAGCCAAAAAATCATGGGATAATAATGAAGCCCAAATTCTATTGGAATTTCTGGTTCATTGATACACATTGACTCAATTATCTTTAATGAAAAATCCCCTAGCTTCCAGCACAGATCTTTTAACTGTACTTTGCACAACAGTCAATCATGAAATACCAAATGATTGATTGCTTGAATGTTTACCTGGAACTTTGGGCTGACTTTGATGAAAAGGCTGGTCTTCTGGTCCCACATAAGAACAAGTCCCTTCTTGATTGTCAGTACCAAGTAAATACCCATCTTACGCATCTGTTCAGGGAACACCTTGCTGGTGCCCTTAATGACATGGAAGTCTTCGTCCCTTAGTTGAAATTCATTGTTCTGTGGATATCAATATAAAAGATAGATGCATTGTATTCTGCATTTCATGAGAGTCATGGGATGAAAAATATGATTTCTTGTTTTAAAGAACACCTTGTAAAGTCAAGTATCAGTTTAGCTACAGAACTCTAGCTTGTTATCTCCAATTCTGTTTGACTTAATTTTACCACAGAATATTAGTAATAAATCAAAGATGCTATCTAATTATAAGTCTAATGAAAGATTGAAAATACTGCTACACGCTTGATATTCTGATCCAGAATATTGTGTTTGTTGCAGTGGACAGTGAAGGTGTTGTGTTTACCCCTAGGAAGATTTTGATGGTCTTGGAGCAGGTGGTTCCTGTGCTTCCACAAGCAACATTCTCAGTGATAATACTCAAGCTTTCTGCGCCCTGAGTCCCTCCGCAGGAGTCCTAAAAAAAACAGCAAGGACAGTTCATAAATTATACTTCTTACCTTTAAAGTGAAATCAACACTAGGTTTTGTTTTCACCCTAACTAAACAATTTATCCTTTCTCTTTGTTATTTTCAAGAACTGTTGTGTAATTATAATCATTAAAAAAAAAAAAGTTTTCCTTATTTAAAACAGGTGGAATGATGTTCAACCAAAAAAAAAAAAAAAAGGTGTGATGCTATGCAGATCATCTTGAGATCCCACCTGCTTCAAAATGAAGGACTGTGATTGGTCTGGTAAAGCTGACACTGAAGGAAATTGTTTGGAATGATAATGGTTTCAGACCCACTTAAAAGTAAAAATGAATATGGCTTAGTGGGTCTGGCAACACTTGAAATGTAAAGAAAATTCCACTGATTGAGTTGGTAGGACAGGAAAGAGATTTACTATCCATGTGAGATTTGAGTAAATAGCCCACTAGTTGAACAATTTCAGAATAACATTCTTCAGGATGAAATTATGAGGAATTACATGATTTCATCATCTTTAGGACATGAAACTATTTACAAAAGGGACAAAGCCAATAACTGGTGCTGGATGGCTATGATCTGTGGACTAATGTGCAGCACTGCATTATAACAGATATGACTCTTAAGTGGATACTAGTGGGTGGCTCAAAATAATTTCCGTACAAGATTGTCTGTGGCTGAATCCACAAATGCAAGTTGAAATTATACGAAATGAGCCAACAGTCCATAAACATTACTTGGACCCAACCCCATTCCAGATAATCAGAGAAGTTATCTTTTCAGAATTTACAACTGCACATAACGTTTAAATGATTTTCAAAATATCAAATCCTGATTTTGTTATTATTTTTACACTGCTTCTGACATCACAAGGGTCAAAAATTCAACTTTGTTTTTGACCACATGCCACTTTACCTGTAGGAGTGTGTATTCACACTGTCCATTGAAGTCAAACCTCTTATCATCAAATGTGACGTAGTGCCCGTCACCATAGATCCCACAAATAGAGTCACACACATCGGTTGTACATGTGAACTTTCTATTAGAGCAGGTGCTGAGGAGACAAAGACAAGACTCAAGTTCATTTGGGTATGTTTTAAAATGAAAGCTCTTATGCTCACAAAAAAAAAATTGGTATTAGTATAAATATCGGTAGTAATGGTAGTAGTAGTAATAGTAATATTAAACTGGTGTTTATGTTGGGCCTTGTACACACCAAGTATTGCAGTCCACAGTCAGTGTTTCTCCAGCACGGTAGACTTGTCCATTGTGCACACATGGACAATTGCTCTCTTTGACACAGCCTCCTGCTCCATCTGACACCAGGCCTTTGGGGCACATGCAGCCGGATGTACAGCCTGAGCTGACCTGTATTCAAGCAGAGTAGAAGACAAAAAGACAGTTTCAGACAAACAATTCTTGTACTTGTAGAGCTTCTGTGATTGTAAGAGTGCGATGTGCTGCTTACACAAGCCATATCCAGAGTGCTGCAGCTCTTCTCACACTCAGTTCCAGCTTCTCCAGGTTGGACTTTGTCGCAGTCAAAGTAAACCATGGGCGAGATGCATTTTCGTCGGTCTGAGAATCAAAAAACAAGTGGATGACAAAAAGAATAAATGTTATGGAAAAGCTCCAGAGGCCTTAACAACTGTCATGAGAAGCCATTGGGAGCACTACCCACTCAGGACTTGAGTATACTTATTGTTTAAACCAGAGAGCAATTCAACTGCAAATTCAAGAGTTCAAAAGTTTTTTTTCTAAACTCAAAGCAAAGGTGAGAAGAGGCTCTCAATATCCAAAAATTACTGTGTATGTACAGTGCTGTGCGTGAGTGTACAATAGGAAATGCATTTATTGAACGCATTCATATTTTGGTGACCAGTGAACTTATCAAGCTGCTCACAAACAGGAATGTAGATTAATCTGGGTACAGTGTACAGATGCTCACAAAGGGGATCCCAGAGAATCAAGAGCTGCTGAATTAACTGAGCCTTGTGTGTTGCAGCAGATGAGATCGGGATCATGGCACACTGTGCTTCTCACAGTTTAGGTGCAGTTAGTAGTGCTGATGAAGACAGCTCTTTTAAAACAATGTTGTGATCAAATCAGGACAGATTCTGGCAGGCTACATACTGAAGACTATATGCTCTGTATATGGGAAGCCTGCTCTTCCAGCTGAGCCAAACGAAACCTCAAGGGAGGAAGCTTTTCCAAATAATGCAATCCGTTTTACATTTGTCATGGACTTTACAGTACATCAGTGAGAAACATTCCCTTCTCATTCCGGAGGAGATCTTAAGTGTGTCAGACAGAGAGTGCAAAGCCCAGCTCAGCAAAACAGGAAGTAAAGATGCTGACAGCTCGTCTATTATCAGACACAACACAAGAGCAAACTGCTCAGAGTTGCTTTAGTATAATGTTAAACTGTTGTTTGAGCTTGTTGATGATTTGGCAAAAGTGTTTTTCAGGGATAGACCTGCCATAAGCCTTGGTTTGACCAATCATCTTATTTTGGCCTTTTACAGATTTTACAGATGGCCAATGATCAGTTGATTGAAAAGTGTGCTACATTAGCTCTGCAGCTGGTATGCTTTTCACTCTGAGTCTGTTCTCTTGCAACATTGTGCCTCACTTACTTTTCTTTCGCACAGCACTATCTGATTGGCATCCTGCCATAAGACTGTATGACACAACAATACTCTGAGATGTAGCTGTACAAAGCTTTTTCAAATATTTGTTATCAGTCTCATGAAGTACTACTGATAGTTATCCAGTGCAATCAACTCTCAGTGCTTATGTGAACAACAGGCTGATTACTGGATTTGTGTGATAGGTTTCTTCTTAAGTTTTGGGGGGTGGGGGGTGGGGTGGCTTAGTAGAACCAGATAACCAGAACATAACCTGCCCTTGCTTTGCATTACAGGCCCCATGAGCCATAAAAATAATAGCATCAACAATCGTCTGTTCCCAGTATTTAAACATTTGTAAACCTACCAACTGGGGTTCCTCCTGGGCAGCTGAGAACTCCACGTTTGCAGTTACTGTGAGAATAGGAACAGAGGCACACAAAAGCAGTGTTTATATCATCATCAGGCATCCTGCATGTCCTTGATGATTTAAACCAGCCTTCAAGAGCCAGTTCTGAGAAAGAGCTCCACACTACTCTACCTTCTTGCAAATTTCCCTAATGCAAAACAGATTAAACCATGATAAAAATAATAAAGTCCAATTTTGAGAAATCATTCACTGGTAAGTCTGGGGGCAGTTAGTCTTTTAAATAATCATAATATTTTTTCTGTCCTTGTTTATTGCCTATCATGCTAATGTATGTGAAGTAGACTTTTTCTTGAAACAGCACTCATTTTCAAGGAAGGTGCAGAGTTCAGCACCAAACAGATTCAAACTATGGCCCTTTCACTTAACTTTCTATTACTTTTGTAAGCTTGATACTTGACCCCCATGTGTCCAATACTTTGTATTTACCAAGTGCGTCCATTTCTTGTCACAGATTCTCCAGCAGGAATGACGTCATCTTTTTCATAGCAAGGACATTCTTTAATGTTCACACATAGCCCCTTGTCATTCCTGTAGGTTCCTGCAGCACAGCCACAGCCGTCCACTGTCGTGAAGCTGGCCTGGCAGGAGTAGTCAGGTTGGCTAAGGGACTGGCAGGTACGCTGGCAGCTGGTCATGTTGTATCCGTAGACTTCTGTTTCTTGACATGATCTGTATTTGCCTGGTAGAGGATATAAGTGCAGGGATGAGCATAGCAGAGACTTAGTGGTATCACTTCCCCCCTAACATATAGTTTAATTTAGCTTTTGATCCAGGCCTTTTTAATTTCATAGACGGTCTTTCTGAAAAGAAATACACACTGATTTTCAAACATTGTAGATAATATAAATATAAATATAGGAGCGTTGCCAGTATCCACTGAATACAAAGGATATTTACATATCATTTATCTTTTAAAAGCATTCTTATGACATTTATACAGCTCATTATGAGTATGCATCTCAGTTTTTACAGCTGTTTGTGGGACATTGTCTGTCTACAGGCTATGAAGTTAATCATGTTTAAGTACGGATGCATCTTAACAGAATCCTTTTGTCATTATCAAGGTTAGATCCTAGCCAATGTAGTCTCAAACAACAGGCAGTGGTGCCAGGGAGGTGATTTTCGACAGAAAAGAGGAGCTCAAACTTCTGTTCATTGTGTTTCTGTTGTCTCTCTGTTATCTCCGAAAGTGCCGCTCCAGGCCACCGGTCAGCTGTCTTTCATCTCCCTTGTTTTACTTTGCAAATAGGGAAGGTAACAGCAAAAAATGCAGAGAAAAGTGATTCTGCTGTTGGTTTTGGAGTAGGAAATCAAACACTCATTGTGATTCATTTTATGATTTCAAATAAGATTGTAAATGAAGAGGGACAACAAAGAGACATATAGTGTACCTGGATAATTACAATATTGCTTTAAAGACAAGATTTAACAATATTCTACTCTTAGGTTTTCTACCGTTTTGCCCAGTCATTATTGTTTAGTTCACCATCAAACTGGCCGAGTGAGACAGAAAAACTAAGAAAAAAATCAGAACAAAATAGAGCCCACATTTAACTGGGTAAGCCCTTTGAGAGTGACTTAAATGTAATCTGTTCAATAGCCCCTCTAACTTGGTTCACTGCTTGGAGGCTGTGCCAGTTTTTGGCCAGCTTCTCCTATTAGAAGTTTTCAGGAGCTGTTTGCTGTGGTCTAATACTTTGCCACATAAAAACATAAGAACTATCCCTTGTAGTCTAACACACTGGAGAAAAAAATATTCTGGGTCAGGCTAGAAAACAGATCACTACCAAGTCTATCATTGACTTGCCTACACTTACCTCCTGTATAAAATTACATATGCTAGCCTTGATTTCTTTCTCCTAGCAAGTGGTTTTCTCTTATAGTCTCCACAATACCTACATAAATGCGAAAGACTTTTGTTTTGCTCACCACAGATGTCTTTACGCCAGCCTGTTAATGTGACTCCTCGTTCGGAGCAGGCAAAGACATATGATGAGACAGCAGCACACAGGCTGTCTTCGCTGTTATCACTGTTGCAGCAGTCATACATGCAGTTCTGTGAAAAGACACAGCAGGCACAGACATATTAACAAGGGAAAAGTAGTCAGGTCTATTTGTCACCACAACCTTTTTTAAGTGTAGACTCACTTCTTTGTATATCTTTGGGTCAATGTGGTGGTGGCATGGTGCAAACACTCCTTTTGGATCCAATAGTTTGGAGCACCAGAACTGTGCAAATTTTTCTGAGTAAAAAACAGAAATGAAGTGGTTACAAAAGGCAAGCACATGCATAGTGTTGTGGTGTGTATTGTAGTGTATTTTATATGATATAAACTGATGGGATAGACAAAAATGAGAGACATGAAGTTGTACCTCTGTCAATGCCTTGATTGCAGGGGTGTCCAAAGCGTGTAGTTATGTCAATGCAGCTGGCCTTGGTTTTCCACGAGTTTGCAAATCCAGTAGCAGTGCCTTCCACCAGACCAGTAGGGACTGTGAAGTCATCCTTCATCTTGTTGTTGAAGTTACCACACAAACCTGATCAGAATGAGATTTTTTTCTTTTAAATCTTGTCAAAGTTTTTTTTTGTTTGTTTGTTTTGTTTTGTTTTTTTTTTATTTTATTTTTTCATTTTGGTTCATGCAAGATGAAACTACATGTTAAATTTTGAAGTCTGTGTTTTCCCAATTCATTAGTATGGTGGCATACCAGAAGTTGTTCCTTTCAGTGAAGGATCTGCTATGATGAAGATCTGCATCTTGGGGGACAGCTGAATTGCAATTTTAATGCCAGCCTTGATCTTCACGAAGATGTAGATAGATGACGGCTTGAATACGATGAGCTCAGCTGCAGCAGTCAAAAGTTTTGAGAAACTCAGTGTCACACCTTAAACACACCATCAGCAACTCACATGCACAGTATGTTATTACTCCAAACTTCAAGGCAGAAATGGGCTCTTGTCATATTTACAAGACAAATTCCAAAAATAATGGGACCTGGCAGAAAATAAATAGTATTTTGGGGTCCTCTGTCTGTAATGCCATTTAATTATGCTGCACTGTAATAACAACAGCTTTCCTTCCCTTATTTCCAGGTTATTCTATCAACTTCTGTGAGTGCCGTAAGACCCAGCTCCTCATGTCAACCCCTAACTTGCATGTACTCTTCTGACTTTCTCTACAATCTGCCAGTCAGTTACAAGCTCACTACTTAACCTCACCGACCTTCATTCTGCTGTGGTTTTGGATACATTTAGATTACTGGCCCTAATATACCCAAAAACAATTTGAAATTTGCAGTCCCTTATCAGTGAATACATCAAGATCATAACTTTTAACTCTAAGGGCTTCTTTAGCTGTTAAATACTGCGTGCATCCTGAAAAACGAACTCCAGTGACTCACAGTTGGAGAGTGGAAGCTCTGAGCGAATCTGGTTCATATGAATCTGTCCGGATGCATGGACTTTCAACACCTGTTTTGAAGAGAAACAGAACTTATATTCTTCCAGGCACAAGTTCAAAGGTAATTCCATGGAGATCTTGAACATATTTACATATTTACCATTCTATTGTTGTTTAATGCTACTGTGACAGCTCTGAGGCAGGTCCTACTTTCAGAAGCACCACACCTTTCCAGGTCCACCAGTACAGAGCCTTGAGTTAACTGCAACACACATTGGCAGAAGTTGAACACTGTTTATGACAGAATCACAAGAAACCTCAAACAGAAAACATTGACCATTTTTACAACAAAGTGAAATGATTCTGTCCTTCAAATACTACATAGATCCATCACAGTGATATTACAGTATTACGCTGCTGCTTACATAGTTGCAGTTTTACAGATAATGATGTGTTCTACCTTGGCTAGAATATATGTGCAGTCTCCATGAAATTGATACTCTTTTCCATCAAAGGTGTTGACATGGGTTCCTCCTGTCAGAGAACAGACTCCTGGACAGTTGTCCCCTGTGCACTTCCACCGACCATTTGTACACACACTGTAAGCGTAAACATACACAAAATTATTTGCAGCATTCGTGGAGTTACTCCTTATTTAACATAGAATGCTTAGAATAAAAGAGATTGTGAGAAATTAGTCCATCTCATGCTCTTCTTAGTTTAAAGTGTGTGCCTGATGGGACACTTTTAAATATGCAGTTTGGATTAAATAATTAATAAACCAAATGCACCCTGAGCAAATTTAATTAAAAAAAAAAAAAGAAGAAGAAGTACACTAGTAAGACTGTGGCTTTCTTCTGTAAACAAAATGACATTTTAGAAGCCACAACAGGCAGGCAATGTAGAAACACAGGGAACTCTGTAATAAGCATGTACTCTCACATGCTTGACACCTGCTGATGCTGCTTAAAACAACTTCTATGTCCCAAGGGGTGATCCCATTTGGTCTCTGCTCTACTCTAAACACACATAAACATCGGGAAAGAAGCTTGTTGCTTGAATTGGAAATGACGTTCCTGAGGCAAAACGTAGCATTTGTAATGTTTGCTTTAGTGAGTAATTCTGAAGGAGGCTGGAGGACCTGATGACCACAAAATACTAGATTTTCACACAGTCATGGTAATTTGGACCACAACATATGTAACAGATAAGAGATTTTAGATGGACAACACCTCCGGGTCTCTCATCTCATAACCAGCTCCTGTGTTTAATACCTACAGGATAGGAAGCTCATCCATTTTCCCCCAAGCCATGCACAGGTCTGGGCTATAATGAGGAGTTCATTTACCTTGTTTTAGCTATGTTTATGTCTAGGTCCGGGGAGACACTGCCCTGGAGTATAAAATTGTAAAATTTGTCACTGATGGTCTTGTTTGCTTTTGTATATCATGAATAGGCATCCACATGAATTTCAGTCCAAAAAGTCTTCATGGGAGCTGTAATTGGTATCCAGCAACAGCTGATATTTCTTTCTCTTTGACTCCCTGAGTAAATCAATCAAACAAATATATTGGAAACACAATCATGTTTTCAAAACCCATGTAGCACCCTGTGCTTACAGTTATTTTTGGCCTAAAAGTAAATTACGGAATTTGGATATACATATTAAGAAAAAAATACTCAACCAACCAAACCTAAACCCCCTATAAAGTGAAGGATGACTGACATGATTTTTCAGTTTTGTATACTAATTATAACTGAACAATTTGTGTGGCGTGCTAAATTGTGTACTAAATATACCCATAATATCAGAATCATATGACCTTGCATTTAGTTGAAACAAGCAATGACAGTTTTAAAAATAATACATATAGCAAGCTATACAACTGTGCTGTTTTTAGAAATACAAATTAAAATATCTACAAATGAATATGGGCTCTGTCTACTCATGAGTAACAAGTTAAAAAGCCAATAAGAAAGGTCTCTAGCCTTACCAGGATCTGCAGTTGTGATAATAAGACTGTCCTGGCTGATAGACTTGGTTATTGTGCTGACACGGACACTGATCCACTTTCACGCAGCCACTTTTACCAATGTCATCGTAGACCGTTCCTGAGGAGGGAAGACACAGTTATTATTGTTTTTCATATATATATATTTCATATTATATATATACATATATATATATATGTATGAAACCACATGCTCTCGTACATTATAAGCTTGTTACTGAAGGGAAATGTGTGTGTGTGTGTGTGTGTGTGTGTGTGTGTGTGTGTGTGTGTGTGTGTGTGTGTGTGTGTGTGTGTACCAGCAGGGCAGCTGCAGCCATCATGGCAGTGGATGTCACATAATTTGCTGGCCTGAAGAGTGGTGCAGGTGTCAGGACATGAACTGCCACACTCCATAAACTCCATGTTGTCTGGACACGATTTGTCTGTGGAGACAAATATGTTACTGTTGCTGTAAAATGCTACAGATGAGGCAAAAAAGACTGAACTTGAGGTGTTAGCATCCTTACAGCAAAAAGACTCAGTTCTCCATTTTTGGGGTTTGCCGCCTGCATGGACACACTGTCTGGAGAACTCTGAGACTGTTTTACAGAGCATGGAGTCTGTGTCCTTTTCCTTGAAGCACTTATCAACCATACAGACTTTAATGAAGGCCTCTTTATCCAGTTGATCTTGGCAGCTGCTGAATGATGCACTGGAGAAGAGTTGTTCACAGTATTTCTAAAAACCAAAGGTAAATCAATGAGTGGCAAAATTCCTGCTTGTATGAACCATGTACAGTAGATTTGAAATAGTGTTTTCCTCTTTGAAGTTTATTATAAATACAGGTTAACAGCAGCAGTGATGATGAAGATGACAGTATAGAGTGAGGACATACCCTGTCCCCACAGGTTGCGTCTGGGGTCACATCAGGCTCCTCACAGGTCTCTCCTGGCTTAGTCACTTTGTTGGCCTCAGCATAGTCTGACACAGACATCTCAGCTCCTAGAGAATTCATATTACAAAGCCATGAGATTATTTAGCCCCGTAATTCCAGGTTGAGGAAGCATGTCCGAGGCTACATTTGCTTTGATTGAATCAAATGTTTAAGAGTTATAAGGCTGTGGGTAAAAGACACTCAACCATTCGATCCTCAAATGTTGTGTCACTTAAAAATGTTGACAGACTAAAGAGGCTGAGTTGGTCCACATCAGAGTTTGCTTGTAAGCAAAGTGAGACCCCAGTCTTCAAGAGGACCAGAGTTTGCTTGTTTGGTCTGCACCAGAGTTTGAACAATCTTTCACACCACTCCAAACTATCTAACGGAACAGACCAGGGCTTGTTTAAAGTGGAACAAACTGCTCTGATGTAAAGGCACAGTTTATTTTCTCACGCGAAGCTCCCAGTCAGCTGCACAGGTCAAAGGGCTGCTCAAATCTATTCGGTCGGGGATGGTTCAGTTTAGGTAAACAGTTAGATAAGGTTTGCTGAGTGTAATACAGGTTAAACCTATGGTTTATTTGTTTTGCCTCAAAGCATGAAGTTACTCTCCAAGAGTTGTAACCTGAAAACCCTAAACAAGTGGAACAGCTTAGACCACGCACAAATATTAGCATTTGTAAACTGATCAAGTAGTAACCAAATGTTTCTGCCTGATTTTAAAGAGGGGAATCTGTTTCTCAAAAGTGGGAAGTTACATATCCCACAACAGTTACCCTTACTCTGTGTTTTAGTGTGAGTATAATGTGCAGAGGGTTATTTCTTCATAATGCCAGACAGGATCTTACCATTTTCTGTCAAATCATTGGCTGCACCGTCAAAGTTTCCACAGAGTCCACAGGTCTGGTTTCTGAATTCCTCTGGCATTTCAAGCTGTGAACACATCACAACACATATGAAGTTATTAAAAAAGTCAAAGATTTCAGCATACTGTGTATAAAAAGCTGTTGTGTCATTTATTCTCATGTCATCCATCAGAGTTTCTTTTTTGTCTTAAATTAACAACAGAGTTTGGGGATTCTCATAAGCAGCAAAGGGACAGGAATCTGGTCTTCTTCTCCAGCAAAACTCAAGAGTGTAGCAAGACTTTTAGTAAGTAGAATTAATTGGGCTCCTTCTCAACCTCAAATGTCAAGATATTTTTCTCTGGATATTGTTCAAGGTTTTCCTCAGACTTAACACGTGTAAAATCTTGACCAGACTGGACATTTCATAGAAGACAGACAAGACAAGGACAAGAACTTCAAATGTGCTGCCATGCCCTAACACTTGGGTCAAAACTCAAGCTTCAAAGTAATGACGCCAAGGGTTTTTGTTTTGTTTTGTTTTTACACACTACATGTACAGAGGCTTATAGTCATTCAAGCAGCTGATCAAGTTTTGATCTCTGCCTGCTAACCCCCTTACTTTCAGTTTTTTCCCACACTGTAATTTATTGGAAGTAAGAGAAACAAACAGGTCTTTGCATGTTTCACGCTTGGGCCAAAGTCAGAGTTAGACTGAGCATGGTTACACCCACACATGGGTAGGTGCTCCCATTTCTAAATATTGTGCCTCTTAAGTAACTTTCTGACATGTAGGTGTCATTCATTTTTCACTAGTCCAATATATTTTATCAAGTACTTCCATACAGTTCTCTAGCTGACCATTTTATCTGCTCCATAGTACTTGAATGTTTGAACACAGTCCTTGCTCAGTAAATAGGAAACAAGTGTGTCAGACTTAACTGCACATTTTTTGAGCTAATAAAGACACGGCCTCAGGGCTCTGAAAGGAGGGCTATGGTTCAATAAGCTGGGGTTGTGTCACAGTTTTAATACAGGTGGAATCCTGAAAGTTGGAGTTAACATGCTAATTGAATAATATAAAACTTTCAGAGGTGTAACAGTTCTGCCTTGAACCTGTTTAAAGGGCATCTTACTTTTTGTTTTCACTGAGACACAAGCAGATGAGGAGGAGCCACTATCTACTCTAGCTTTTATAGATATAAAAAGAGATTTCTATTACATGAAATACACTTAAAACTTGTACTTAAATTTTTTTTTGTTTTGTGTGTGTATGAAAATGTGCCTCTTACGTCCAGGGAGTCATCCATGTTCCAGATTGCTTTGATGCCTATCTTGGTGTTGACAAAGACAGTAGATGTGGTCTGTCTGACGCTCACACCAAATTTGGTGAATGGTAGAGACACTCTGAAGAAAAAAAAGGGACACATGGTAAAAAAAAAGAGTGAGATAGCTTCTGTTGCATAGCATGGTATTACAGTGAGAAACATGACCATTGCATTGTCCAACAGTGAAGTATAAGAGATTTTTTACAAATGTAGAGAGTGAAATGTACATACAATGAGGAGGTCTATGCTGGAATTACAGTTCCAACAGGGTGAAACTAGACCCTAATGCTGAGTCAAGATATGAAGCAAATTCATACCAGGTATGGAGCTAAAAACACAGGTGTTTTATTCTGTTGGCTGTTGCTGGTGACTGGTTAGCCGTTATGCACAATGAAAAGTTTAGTATTCAGAGAAATTTCTGAAGGGAGATCTATCTCCTTTTAGTGATCCAGATCTTTTGGCTCAGTCCAGCATTGAAAGACCAGCTCTTTTGGCACCCATACAGCTCCTCATAGCACTGTTTTGGCTTTTATCATGTTATTCATTGCAGTGTTATAACCTATGATTTACATGTGTGCATGTTTTTTTTTAATTTAAAGTATTAAGCTTTAGTTCAGATAAATCTAATCATTTCTAGGAATAACACTATTTCATGTGATGTTTGGTATAAAACATGAATTTTTTGGACCACTCTGATGAACCACCAAAGGTTGACATGCTTTAATTTGAGCAGTTTGAAACAGTGATTAATTTTGTACTTTTACCTTTAAAGTCAATAAAACTCTACTTTAATGACAACAGTGTAGGTGGCCTGTGGAAGCACCTGTGGACCTGCATGTGTGCTCTGTAAGTCTTGACAAACTTTAACTTTGTTAACTTTGCACAACACACAGGACTTTTGAAGGGTCCTCATGTTTAAAAGCAACACTCTACAGAAGGTTGAGAAGTATATCATCATTCACAGTTTTTCCTCTGATTGGGGGACCTCTTGGTTGCATTTTTTCATCCATTGCAAAGGGATTAATGAAATAATCTCTTAGGTAACATTCCTTATCCAGCCAGCATGCAAATCCAAAGGCAGCATAATATTACAGCAAAAAATGAATAAAATCATAATGAAAGAAAATGTGTGCAACAAATCCTTATTTTGAAGAGTAGATTACTGGTATAGCTCGTCTGTGATGATTAAATGCAGCTGATGATTAAATGCAGCTGTCAATGATTAGCTGTCACCATGTCACTAGCATTGTAGAATTATGTTCCCTCACAAAGCGCTATATCACAGTGTGCAGTAGTTTCTACAGATGCTATTTCAGAGTCTGATCAACTTGATTACCTGTATCTGTGCTAAACATGTACTTGAGTTTTCCTCTGTTGGTTTATCATGTATGTTGATGGTTACAAATCCTCATCTCATCACTAAACAAAGAAATAAACCGCAATATAACCTCATTTTTGGAGGTTTCTGTTTAAAGGTAACCTTGCTTCTGCTGCCAATGCTCAACCATCATGCAACAGTGATTGAGACTACTATATAGATCTCCAGTTAATATGTGTGGTACAGTGTAGCACCAGGTCTGGACTTCACTTACTTCTGGCCATCGACCTCCACAGACTTTGGTCTCAGCGTCACAACAACACCATCCAGCTTCATGAATATCTTGGAGATGGTGGGCTTGCTGTCTACTATCTTGTGTTTCAGTTGGATGTTAAAACCCTCAAAGGATCCTTTACATTGTGAGACCACGACGTGGTTACAGGTGGATGGCAGTCTGAAGAATTGTCCATCCAAGGTCTTCCAGTTATAGTTTCCCCAGGTTGAGCATACATTGTTGATATGAGCATTACCTGAAACAACATTAACGTAGCCATGAAAGCATTCCATCATTTCTATGGCATTCTTTGTTTGATAGTTGACAAAGAAAGTTGATTTTCTTCAAACAAACTTCTGACAGATTTGCTTGTTCTAGCCTCCTTGACTACCAGACTTTGCTGCTTTTCTGCATTTTCATGAAACTAAATGTGGTGTCTGGACTTCTAAGTTGGTCAAGATTTTGATACATAAAAGTTTAAGTGCTAAAAACTGGGCTTTTCTCATACTTTGTGAACTTTATATAGACTTTTAGGAAAAATTAATCAATTGAAAAAAGTTTCTCTGTAGCCATGCATCAAAACAATATCAAACTAGATGATCACATAAAGTTTAGGGTCCTCCACCACACACCAACAGATGTTTTTTGTTAGAAGATCTCTCAGTCTGCCTCTTTGTTCCAAACATCTTGTAGGAGATACAAGCAGAAACTTTAAGGAGTCACTCACCAGTATCAGTGAGAAAGCAGAGAAGCAGTGTCAGATAGACGAGCCGAAATGTAGATCCCAGCTCTGTGGTCCCCATGTTGACCCTGAGGACTGACTGTCTGTGAAAACCAACCTGAAGGATGTCGCCTTATATATCCATCCAGTTAAGGAGGAGCAACACACTTCTACAGGTAAGAGTAAGAGATAGAGGTCGGTCCACAGTGGGTCCCTCCCTCACTGTGAATATCTTCAGTGGCGTTGACATGTGGTATTTGCATGTCAAATAAATACCTGACAGCATTCACAAAGTTACTATTTGTTTGATTAGCAAACATGTCATCACCTTCATCAGTATACTAAGCAGCTTGTTCAACCCACAGGGCTCTTTTAAGATGCTTTACATCAATATATCCAGCTATGGTGACAAACTCTTAGAAATGTGTATCAGTTCATTAAATGACATAAAAAAGAAAGATTATAACATAAATAACACTGGCATAAATGGTGTGTGAGGGGTTAAACGTCTTTGTTGGAACTTTCCTGCAGACCCTTCATTAATCCTAGTTATGTCTACTGACATACACATTTTCAGTCTACAGGTCTTCTTCTAATCAGTCTCAGTGTATTTCAGATGCATCATCCATTAATCTGCCACATCCTGGATCCTGTAGGAACTTTGCAACCTCCACGCAAGACCTTTGACCTTTGCAAACAACTGCAAAGGCCAAATGTGCTTTGAAAAAAAATTGACAAATCAACACAAATTGACAATCTGTTACTCCATATAGCTGTTGCTACTCAAAGAAATTAGTATCTTCTGATGCCTCAAGCCCAAACCTTAATTATTTGGGATCGAACTAAGAAGTCAGTGTACATTTTCTTCTTAAATGAGAGCTTCCATCCGAATTGTAGAGGTTTTTGTTAAAAGTTTTTGTGTGCAAGTGTCATCAACAACAAAATTGTTATTGATCCTGTTTCAGATCATCTGCAGGGTGATGCACTTGAAGGAACACAGCTGCAGATGCACATGTTGTTGCTATCTCCCTCTCTCTCTTCCTTTCTTTCTCTGTATTTCCCTTTGTAATGCATCAGACAATGAGAGTAGTCTAGACCTGCTCTTTTGAAAAGCATATTGGAATAATGACTGTTGTGATTTGGCTCTATATAAATACAAATTGATTGATTGATTTGATTGATAGATGTACAAATCCAATTTCAATGAAGTTTGGATGTTGTGTAAAACATTAATAAAAACAGAATTCAATGATTTGCAAATCCTTTTCCACCGATTTTCAACTGAAAACACTACAAAGGCCAGATATTTTATGTTCAAACTGAAATATTTGGTTGTTGTTTCTTTAAAACATTAACTTATTTTGAATTTGATGCTGCAACACATTCCTAAAAAGTTGGTTCAGGATCAACAAAAGACTGAGGACTGCTCCAAAAACACCTGTTTGGACTTTTCACAGGTAGACAGGTTCATTGGAAACAGGTGAGAATCATAATTGGGTGTAAAAGGAGCATCACTGAAAGACTCAGTCCTTCACAAACAAGGATAGGGCCAGGTTCACCACTTTGTCAACAACTGTGTGAGTAAATAGTCCAACAGTTAAAGAACAATATTTCTTAACATACATCTGCAAGAATATAGAGATTTGATCATCTACGGCCCATAAAATCATCAGAGAATCTAAGAAATCTCTGCACGTAAGCAGCAAGGCCCAAAACCAACACTTAGTGACTGTGACCTTTGACCCCTCAGGCAGTACTGTGCTAAAAACCTCACATCATTCTGTAAAGGATTTTTCCATGTGGGGTCAGGAGGACTTCAGAAAACCATAATCAGCTAACACAGTTGGTCTCTACATCTGCAAGTTCAAACTCTACCATGCAAAGACAAAGACATATGTCAACAACAGACAGAATCCCCGCCGGCTTCTCTGGACCTGAGCTCATCTGAGATGGACTGACCCAGAGTGGAAAAGTCTGCTGTACGCTGACAAGTCCTCACTGTGGCGTCCTCCAGACCAAAGAGGGACTATCCAGACTGTTCTTAGGTCAAAGGTTAAAGCCAGCATCTGTGAAGGCTCCATTAATGCTTAAAGGTACATACAGGTTTAGGAGCATCATCTACTGCCATCAGAACTTGTCGTTTTTCAGGCACAACCCTGTTTATTTCAGGTTTCCACAGTGTCAGACACATTTCAGTGCTATAAATAATCAGCAACAACAAAAAAACTGAGTCAGCACATACATTTAGATCTATATAGATATATTCTGATCTATATCTGATCCGATGAGCGTGTTTGGCACGCATTTGGACACACAACCTGACCGAATCAACACAGCTGAAACCGCATTAAATTAAATTAAATATCTAGTAAATAAACACACATGATAAAGTTAACAAGATATGTATTTCATCTCCCTCCTTTTCTTTCTTCCTCTTATTTCTCGCGCAGCTCGACCTGGACATGTCTCCATGTCCACTCCCCATCCTGCTGCAGCTGCTGCTGCGGCAGCTGAACAGATGATTTGTTTCAGTGATCAGATGAGTTATTTACTTTAAGCCGACATACGAATTTTGTAATATTCAGTTTTGTGAGCCAAAATTATTCTAAATGGCAACATCTATGAAAGAAAGAGCCAAGCCATGGAGCGTGATGCGTCCTTTACACACAGATAGTTCCGATTTTAATGCCATTTTTGGAATTTATGTTGTGATCTGTGCGCTCAACCCACCTTTGTCACGTGAGGTTTGAATATGAGCAACTTTATGTGAGTGTCTTTATTTGTGGAAAAGGGTGTTTGTCTTACCAGTGGGTCCAACATTACACACACCAAACCCATCTGTGCTCATATATGAGACATTGTGGAGGACGCCCTCTGCAGCGCTTGCTTACAGCAACACTTGTTGAGGGGCTGCCTTCTGTTGCCATCATGTGGCATTGCTGTCTTCAGCCATCTTTTGATCTCTTTGACTACTTCACGAAAATTGTAATACGCCTCGCCGGTGGCGGATTTAAAAGTGAGGAGTGGTCCTGATTGGTGAAAACTGGTCTCGGCTGTGTTAATCCCACTCCATGCCCTCTCTATGACTTACACTGCTGGGAGGAGCTGAGTTAGGGAGGGGGGATACTTACGCCTGGCTGCGCCACACACAAAAATACCAAAATGTACTTGGGCATGCCTTGTCGGCGCAGCGGACCTGACTTACGCCGTGCCTGCGCCACATCGCCGGTGAGGCACGAAAATAGAGCCCAGAGAGTAAACTGATTGGAAGATATTGTTTCCTTGTACAAACCACATGGATTAATTGAGCTCTTGCCAAAACAGCATCTTTCAGCTAATCACAGCACTGTCCTAGGCCCTGCAGAGGTAGATCACTTGTGGCTTTGCACAAACTGAGCATTTAAAAAACTATGGGAGACGTAATACACTGTTCACTGAGCAACAGCCTGCTGTACAAAAAACCTCCATTAAGACATTTCAGTTGTCTCATTTACCTCTTTGCAAGAGAGTAAACGGCAAATGGTGAGGTAGAAAAGTTTAGATGTTACCCGGAAAGACTTTTATTCTACCCATGTTCAAACTGTTTGGAACCAGGGCATGAGTTGGAGCTTGTTGTGAAATAACCGAGGGAGGGCCATGATGAGCTGATAGTCAGAGTGCGCTGCATTGATGGTTTTAGTAGGGGTCCTCCTCAGGAACGGGGGTTTACCTTTAAAGCAAAGGCTGCTGACACCTGTCATCTCAGCAAGTAAGACATATGCTACAATGTTGTGTGCTGCATCAGAGAGGACAGGTGATAGTTATGTATATTTAATGTAATGTATATGATATAATACCATGGTATTTACACATCTTCAGTGTCTGCATGGTGATCCGATTACTATCATAAGAGACAATGATATTGACTCTGAATGTGTAAACCACAGTATTCACAATGACACTCAAAATCAATAATGAAGACATGCAGGAATTATTTGCTATTTGTTTTGAAGTGCTTACTAAAATAACATTTAATCACTTATGAGTACAGAGATTACGAACTGACATGATGGCTTGTCTAAAGCAAACAAAACTCGGCTATAGGCGTCAACATCTTTCCTTCACTCTCAAATCATTTTTAATACATTGAAATGAATACACGAGTGTCTAAGAAAGGCCAACCTTCAACAGGACGGCAGAATCCGGTACATTCTCACCCTTTGTCAACAGTCTATTCAAACATTTTGCTTTTAAATTTCATATTTTATAATTTGCGATGGAGCTCTTAAGTCATGGGGAAGAAAACTGCTCCATGTGTCCCGTGCACAATCCCATTTACTGAGGCTCACACTCTTTTCTGTTGATGTGGGATCTCTACAGCTAATATAATGAGTTGGAGTAGGGGGTACACATCAATGACGCAGGACAGGGATTATTCCTGCCGGGGTTGCTTGTGACACATCAAAAAAGATTCTCAAATGATTACTGCTCTTCACAGCCCATGGAGGCAGCACTCGAAACCTGCAGTCAAGTGTGCCTTCAGAGTATAAATTATGGTGAATTACGGAGGGTTCAGCTCCATGGTCCTGTTGCTTTCACTGTGATAACAACTTTTCTTCAGCTCGCCCTCCTTGTCACTCTGATTGTGATTTCCTAAAGACTTTTTGTAAACCTGTGTGGTTTCATCAAGGAGGGTCTCTTTTTCCTCTTTCACACTGGGACTCCCCAGCAATGCTGGAACAAAGCTCTGCCATCAACATGTTTTGTACAGACACACTGCACCCTGAAGGGGCATGGTATTGGTGTCCCTGTGTGTCTTTACACACAGCATTAAATTACAATAGTCCAGATGGGATGAAAAAAAAGCATGAATGATCATTTCCAGTTCAGGATGTGACAAAACAGATCCAAGCTTAGCAATGTTCCATAAAAGGAAGAAACATGACTGGGACAACTGTTTTATATGGGGATCAAAGTACATGGAGTGATTGAATGTAACTCCAAGATTTCTAAGTTTAGACTGGACTGCAGAAGAGAGGTAACTGATACATTGAGAAACCTATGGTATCTGAGCCAACAAAAAGGACCTCCGTTTTGTCAGGT